GAAAGAGGCAGCACCATCCAATTCACGGCATTTAACGAGCAGACCAAAACACAGAGATGAATCGACTGAAAAAGCAGTCATTCTAAATTCACTATTTTTTTTCTCTTTCTTTTTTTTTTGACATTATCACATTCACAATTAAATGTCAAATAAAAATCATTTTGACAATTTGACTTTTAAATTAAACGACAAAAATTGCTAGATATTATTATTTAATGTATATAAAAGACAGTCCTGAGATGAACCGAAACACACATACACACACTATGTATATATGTATATATATATATAGGGGAAACTGAGGAGATAAATCCATGATTTTCAATCACACGCGGAACATTATTGATGTGCACACGCGAATTATTTCGAAGTCGAGGGTGTCAAGTGTTGATTGTGAAAACTCACCGGGTTGTTTGTTGGCGATTTTATTGAAACAGTTTTGAAAAACCTCATAGAGATGCATCGGCTCGTCGTCGCTGGCCGCCATCTTTCCGAACGAACGACTGTGAACGACAAGAAACGAATACAAGTTGTGATTTCGTGCCGCTTGGAGGCGACACTTGTTTGACGGTCAATTGCCGGCAGCAGTAGAACTGATGCAGAGTTGGGAACTAGTTTCCGTATAGCAGTGCTTGTTTTGCTTTTTCTCATATAAAAATAAATTATAAATATAATTTATTTTATAAAATAAATATATACTTTATGAAAATATTGATTTCACTTTGAATGTTACTCAAAATTAACTTACAGTATTAAAAATATTGTAATTAGTATAAAAAATTAATTCACGATGATGGCGCTGCAATCGTTTATAAAATTCGCGCCAATTTTTGAATTTAACGTTTTTATCATAAATGAAAACATAATAGAAAAGAATTTAAAAAATTTTTTTAAAACTTTGCTAAAAAACAGTAAATTATAAATTAAATACAGATTAAAAATACCAAATTTAAAAAATAAATTATCTATTAATATTTTTTCTACTTTTTAAGGTACCAAGAAAAATTAATTCAATTATTGGAAATAAGATTTCATGAATAAATGTAATAAAAAAATTTGCTAGAAATAAATATAGGTTAAAAAAAACCTAAAAATTAGAAAGAAATTCAGAATTATTTTTATTAAATATTTTTTAACCTATATTTAATACTAGAAATTAATTTAGAATTTTTCTTTTTTACATTTACCCTTTTTTTCCCTATTGAATCAATTTCTTTTTGGTAAAAAAGTAGAAAAAGTTATTAATAGATAATTTATTTTTTAAATTTGGTATTTTTAATCTATATTTAATTTTCATGGAAATTAATTTAGAATTTTTTCCATACTTTTATTCATGTACCCCTTTTTTGAATATTAATTTAATTTTTTTTTGGTACCCTAAAAATTATAAAAAAAGTAATACAGAATTAGTTTTGTTAAATTCGTTATTTTTAATCTATATTTTATAACTTTTAAACAATAAGATGAAAAAAATTTAACCTGTGGGTTTTCAAAGGGTCTTTTCCTACACTTTTGAATGGTGATAACATTTTTTTTAAATTCAAAATTTGATCCTTTTTTTAAAAATCAATATTTTTTTTACTTTTTTCAAAATCGTTCCGTTTTTAATACGTTTTCAAATTTTTGTTATAAAAAAATATTTATTTTCAATTAAAATTTTTATAAAATTTAACAATTGTTTATAATTTAAAAATTATATCATAATAATATTGAATTATTCTTTAAAAATTTCAATTCAAAATAAAGTAAAATTCAATTATTACCCGAAATTTTAATTCAAAATCCAATAATTATCCACAATTTTCAATTTAAAATTTAATTATTTACCAAGTTTTCAATTTAAAATGAAATAAAATTCAATTATTTTCTAAAATTTCTATTCAAAATTAATTATTTAAATTTTGAATCAAAAATGAACTTAAATTAAATTATTATCAAAAATTTCAATTAAAATTCAATTATTTTCAAAAATTTCCAATTCAAAATCAACTAAAATTCAATCATTATCCAAAATTTCAATTGAAAATTAACTAAAATTCAATTATTTTCTACAATTTCAAGTAAAATTCAATTACTTTCAAAAGTTTCAATTTAATATTAATTGAAATTCAAATATTTTCCAAAATTTGCAATTTAAAATCAACTAAAATTCAATAATTTTCCAAAATTACAATTGAAATTCAATTATTTTCAAAATTTGCAATTTAAAATCAACTAAAATTCAAATATTTTCAAAATTTTCAATCCAAAATTAAGTAAAATTCAATTACTTTCAAAAGTTTCAATTTAATATTAATTGAAATTCAATTATTTTCCAAAAATTTCAATTTGAAATCAATTAAAATTCAATTATTTTGAAAAATTTTAATTGAAATTCAATTATTTTCTAAAATTTCTATTCAAAATTAATTATCCAAATTTTCAATCAAAAATGAACATCAATTAAATTATTATCCAAAATTTCAATTAAAATTCAATTATTTCCCAAAAATTTTCAATTTAAAATCAAATAAAATTTCATTATTTTCAAAAAATTTTAATTCAAAATTAATTGAATTTTCAATAATTTGAATTTAAAAGCATCTAAAATTTAATTATTTCTAAAATTTTCCATGGAATTTTTTTTTTTTTGAAATTTATTAATTTCAATTATAACTCTAAGGAAATTCAATTATTTTTAACTATTTTAATAATATTCTTTGAAATTTCAACTATCTGAAACCATTTTTCAATTAAAAAAAATTTTTAAATTATTGTATTTTGTCCGCATTTTCTAATAAATTTTTAGTGAAATCATCTAAAATTTTAATTACAAAACACTTAAAGTTTCAATTAATTTCAAAAATCTCAATTTTAAGGTATTAGTCGCGTAAAATCATTTTCGTCAGATATTTTTTAAATTTTGCATGAGTGTTTCTGACATAATTATCTACAAAATAAGACCATTCCCATCGATTTTGACCGTTCCTAAGCTTTAAAATATCATTTCAAAGTTGATACTTTTTACATGGACGGAGCACCTAATGCATGTAAGGAATTTGCTTTATAATTATTTAAATAAAAACCAGTCGTCAGATTTTAAAATAAAACTACCACATAATACATTCTCATGAAACGAATGCATACAAAAAAACTGAAATTTTTTGACCGTACCAAACTATAAATATATTAGGAGAAAGTTAACAAAATTTTAAATTATATGAAGTTCCACTGCTGGAAAGCAGTACACTTGGCAACGCTGTAGCGCGCGAATGCATACAAAATTCAAAATCATGCAAAGTACACAGTTAGAAAGTAGGAATATCTCATAGAGTAAAATAAAAAAATAATATATTTAAAATTTCACAACATAGATTAGTATTGAATAATTCTCAATTTTTAAAATTAAATCATATATTTTAAGAAAAATAAGAATGAGAAACGTTAAATTGGTTGGTTATATTTCAACAGTTAAGAAATAAAAACATTTTTTGATGAAATATTTATTTTTTACTTTATAAACCAATTTATAATACATTATTGATGTAAATATTAATTATAAATAATTAAAAATTAGTTTTCAAAGAAGCATACTTGAATTTTTTTTAATAATATTAACATCTTTAATTATTAATTATTCTTAGTAAGTCTCATACTTTTAAAAAGTTTAAGCATTTATATACATAATTATTAATCATAAATAATTCAAAAATAGATTTAAAGAAGCTAAACACTTTTTGTGACTCTAACATTCAGTAGCACTGGTACATTACGATTGCGACGTTGCCGCGATCAAAACTTTAGTTCTACACGTGCGAGAACGCGGCGCTCTGAGTGAAACTTACCTGTACCCTTCAAAAAGTTTGACTCAGAACTATACCTCTTGCTAAGCACAGACTGAGTCAGACTCAAGACAAACTTTTGGTTAGAGCCGGCGCGCGACTAATACCTTAAATCTTTGAAAATTCAATTAAATTTAAAAAATGTTTTCCAAAAATTGTTTGATAAATTATTTTTAGTTCTGTAAAATTTAATAATTGTTTAAAAATTAACAATATCTTTTGAAATTTAATTATTTCTAAAAATTTCAACTTTAACCCTTCCAAAAGGATTATTATTAAAAAAAAATTTTTTATTTAAAAATCTGTAAAATATTTTTGTTAAAATAAAAAACAAATCCACTTTTTTTAGAATATAAATCGACTAAAACGACTTTTTTGTGTCTTTAAGTTGATTCGAGGCCTGTGTTTTTATAATTAATATTTAATAGGTATTCGTTAGCCCCTGGTGCCTTAAAAATTAATTTTTAAAAATAAATTTTTTTCAAATTACTATCTTATACGAAATTTTCTGGCACATCTTTTTTCTCATCATAAATTTTTTGTATTTGTATAGAATTTTTGAATGAATATACAAATTTAAAAAAAATTTCGTTGGTAAACGTTGTGTACTTCAGCTTCGTGAATTGAATTTTCGAATTTGGAATTTTAAAGAAACTTATTCGGAAATTTGGAAACACAATTATACAACTTTGGCAAAAATGAGAAAAAGAATTGTCAAAATTTGACACGTCATAAGATTACTATTCAAAAAAACACGTGAAATCAAAAAAGGCCAACTTCAAGTTAGGACAGAAGGACAGACCAAGCATTTTATTATTATATAATTAATTATAATTATATTATAACGAAACTATACAGCCTTGAATTTTAATTAAAAATTTAAAACAAAACATTATTCTTAAATTTTAAAATTAACAAGGAACATAAATTCTAGAATTTTCATTAAAAAAAATTATTTATAATTGAACAGTACCGTCTCTGATTTTCTATTTAAAAACCTTCTTCAGTTTTATAATTTTAATTAATACCCTTATTTCTTTAAAATATATTACTTATAATAAAAAAAAATGTGATGATTTGACAAATACAGAATTGTAATTTAATACATAAGTTACCAAATAAATAAAAAAAATTCTAAAAGAATAGGAAATTAAAGATTAGTAGTTTATCAAAATTAAATGTGTTTAAAAAAATATTTATTTCAGATTTAAATCAGGTACTTTTAGAATTACATTAATTATTTTTTTCTACAGAATTAGTGAATCAGTAAAAAGTTTTTTTTTTATCAAAACTATGGTTTCCGTATTTGTACATTAAAAAGTAACACACAGAAAAATTCTGTTCTGTACTTAAGCTTCAACATTAAAAATTTAAATAATTCAGTTAGTATAAATAAAAATCTCGTTCAATTACCGTTTTTCATAAATATCTTATACGCTTGACATTGTGTATATTTTTTTTAAAAAATTTAATCAATTTCCCAACAATTTGAAAGGCGAACAGCAACAGTTCCTTTTTTTGCATTTATTATTAATCCTGGCGCTAAAACATCGTGGTATGAAATAAAAATTTTTTTTCTCGTGGACGTTACAAATCTCATATATTGTGTATTATAAGCTCCTCCAAGGTCATGGAATTCTTCTCCAATAAAACCGGCAACTGTCTCATCCTCATGACAAAAGGATATTATATCTTTAATAATTATAAATTTTTTTCCACGACTGTATGCAATATAGTCACAATATTTTTGATCTGTATCTTTTTTTCTCACATAACTAACACCGTGAATAATTGCTTCCTCAAAAAAACTTAACATAGTATTTTCTTTTATTTCTGTTCTTGCATTGGCCATAAGCTGAATTTCTGCTGGATTTGCATGTCGCATTCTTAGTTTTTCTTTCCCAACAAAATAATGAGTTTCCATCATTTCTGAAGGTACATGTACAGTTTTTTTGTCAAACAGATCTTCGATTTCCTTTCGTGTTATAGGGCTTATATTTTCCTCTTCAGCCATACGTAAAATAAATTTCCTCATGAAAAAACGTGTCACAATTTGTTCGGCTCGATGATTTGGACTAGTGATTGATTTTGTAATTGGTTGATTCATTGATTCAAAAGGTAAAGTTGAATATACCCAAGCAGGTCCCCAATTTTCAATTGACTTGATGGAATGTTTATTGAGATGAACATTAAACCGCATATTCTTCTCGCCGTAATAAATCTCAGTCTCATTGACAAACTCGTCAAGATAGCTTTTTGCCTTTGTTAAATCTTCATTTGTAATTGAGGTATTATTTAAAATGAACATTGCTTCGCAGTACTTAGCATGATGACTGAAGAAAGGTTCTTCTAAAATTTCATCTAGACAAGGAAGTGAATAATATAAAATCCAATTACGCCACTCTGAAGCATTCCATGTTTTCGATGTTTCTATGCTTCGAGGTTTCAGTGAAATTCTTGAAGGTGTTTCAATAGTCGTCAAAATTTCATTGATTTTTTTCTTCTTGTCTACTTGACCAATGTACCAAGGTTTTCCTACATCCTTCATATGCCTTTCGTTGAATTTTTTACCGTTTCCTAAGTAATCGTTGTGAGCAATGTCTACAACTTGACCCGCAATAAGATCAAATTTTCTAAGACTTCCTAATCGTGAACAACCAACGACACCTCGTGATTCGTTACCATTAATTACTGCCTCTTGTATATCCTTCTTCATCGTTTCCATTGTTCGTAAAGCTGCAGGCGTGGCATTATATATCCATCGTTTTTCGACATTTTTTCCTGGCGCTAAACAAAATGTGCAGCCGTATTCCTGATTATAGTGATTCATCCTTAAGACCATTGCTCTTGCATCCGAGTCAGCTGTAAATATAGAAACAGTAAACTTGCTCACTATCTCTTGCTCTGCAGTTGGTTTCCAAGAAATTCCACTGTCGTGCAATTCATTCATATCTTCAACTATAGGCTTCATTATTATTCCCATATTAGGTTTTCCTTTTCCAATCCATAGTCCTGCCAAAAACATATTTCTTTTTCTAGCGTAAGGCGACAACTCATTGAGTTGTAGAAGAAATGGATAACAAGCTGATTTCGATGATTTTGTTAGTTTCAATCCTTTGGTCCATAATGATAGAGTAAAATTTAATCCCTCTGCAAAGTATTCTTTGTATTTGCGTTGGTATTCCTCTCCATCATATATGTCTTCAATTGCATTGGGATTGAACTTTACTCTGGTTTCCTTGTATCTTAATGCTTCGGCTGCTTTTGGTGAATTTAGGAACTCTTTAATTTGAGGGGCTACACGAATTTGAATAAAAGTTGCAATAAATGTTTCTTCCTTGTACGGACCGCAAGAACCACAATCACAATCTCTTTCCACTTTCTTTCCATTTCCGACAAGTTGACTACATTTTTCACAATATAAACGATAGATTAAATTTGAATCGTCTCTTCCAAGTATTCTCCATAATGCCATTTTCGTTGTAGGTATATTTATATTAACATACATCTTTTTTAATAATTGCAATCGTCGCACAAGCTGTTCATAAGTGTTATTGTATCGTATAGTGTATGTTAATTCTAGTAATAAGTGATCTAATGATGTCAATTGTCCATTATCTTTTAATGGAGCACGCATTCCATTCATTCCTGAAAATCCTTGAAACATCGTACGCTGTGGCAATTCATTTTCATTATCTTCTGCTTCCAACTCACTATCAGAAGTACTTTCTTCGCTGTCTTCTTCGGTCACATCTTCATCACTACTACTATTGACTAGATCTTCCACTTCTAAATTTTGATCCCCATCATCCTCTTCTTTTTTTTCCACTTTTGCTTCCAGCGACATATTTTTCTCATCCTCATCAGTCAAACCTGACAATCTGAGTCTTTTAGAAAGACCTACGTGCGAAGTTTCACAGTCCATTCTCCGCGTCATGCTTCTTCTGTTCATGAATCTGAAAAAATTAAATAAACATGTAGACACATATTTTTTAGGCAATATTTTTAATATTGTTGTGCAGTATATTATAATATTTGGGTAATAACAAATTGTTATGATTTCGATTCTCTTTTGCTGCACGTTATGTTATAAATACATAAGTTATTAATATAAAATAGTAACATATACATCATTTTGAAGGATTAACAATATTATAACTGTCGATTAAAAATTAGCTCACTATTTTCCTGATTTTCAATTCTTACTTTTTAATCTTCACGGCACTGCATAATTTATTTTCTTATAAGGTTGCATATTTATAATCATTGATTCCGAATCTGGTATTTGATTTTCCAAATTCAAAATGGCGAAAGCAATATGACGGATATTTTTTTTTCAATTTATCAGAATTTCTTGAAATTCATTACTCAGGAGGTTTTTGAGGTCGCTGATTACGTATCTAAAGTCGTAATTTTAAAATTCAAAATGACGGATCCAACATGTTGACACAAGTTTTATTGCGCCTAGAGTTATTATTTTGAAACTGTTCAATTTCAAAATTTTAACACCAGAGGCCAAAAACGATATAAATTCGAGTATAGGCTCTTTTAAGATCCAGAGCCTCAATTAATCTTCCTAATTCCATTTATTTATTTTCCTTTAAGTTAGTAATGGTATGTGTGTGATAAAAAAAATAACCGGAAAAAAATGTTGAAATAAACAACCAATAAAATAACGATTCGTTTTGTATAAGTTTGGATTATTTAAGAAGAAGAAAATTATATATTCACAGATATTTATCCCTTATAGTAGGTCGGTTCGCGTTCTCTCTTTCAGGTGGTTCCAGAATAAGTGCAAAAGCCGAGTGCAAGTGCAAGTTGCAATCTCATGAGAGTGAAAGAGATAGGTAGTCTATCTATCTCTCTTGCACTCATGGGAATTGCATTTGGACTTGCACTTGCCTTTTTCACCTATTGTAGAATCTCCATTACATGCGTTGAACACGCGTTCGAATCCCCAACCCTCTAAAAAAATTTCCGTGTAGTATTAAATTAATTGAAAAATTATTAAATATAAGATAAAAATTCTAGTAAAATTGTTGATTTTTTTCTTTTTGTGAATAGAAAAAAAATCAAATTTGAGACCGTCCATAAATTACATAAGACGTTTTGGGGGCAGGGCGAGAGGTTATGTAAATCTTATGTAAGATAACTTTTTTCTTGTTTCCACTAGATGGTAGCTCACCATAAGATTTATGCTATTTAATTGCCATTCAATTTCGTGTTTTTCTTATATAAATTCTTTTATAATATTTATTAAATATTAAAAAAATTAAATCATTATCTGAAGTTACCATAACGTAAAACAACACATAAAATTCTGAATCGTCATTGATACATAATATTTTTAACAAACTTAATCTCTCTATCGATAAAATTTTCTAAAATCTGACTCTAGTCGCCATATTTGAGTCAAAGAAATTGGTTTCATTAAATCAAAGAAATCTTTTCTCTGGGTGTAAATGTAAAAATATTATTAAAAAGTCAAATGTTATAATTCTAATTATATATTTATGGATGGCTACTAAGCTATATGTAGTTTCTCTAAGCCTACTGCAAGCTTAGAATATTACTGAATATAATATAGTATAAATATTATACGAAATATAGTTCTTTTTAAATTGACTAACAGTTTTAAAAAAACCTCAACCAGTGTTAGTACTTTAGTACTGAAATAGATTTTGAGACATCATGACTATAATACTTTATTTAACTTTGCACTGAAAAAAAAATTATTTGATTCAAATAATTATTGGTTACTTGATTATTATCAAATAAATATTTACTTAAACCAAATAATTATTATTTAGGTCAATTAAATGGTATTTGTTTCAAATACCGAAATCATTCACAAGTAGCACGTAATATTACAATAAAATTAAAATGTCCGCCTCATGGTAATATTACCTGTTAATATTACTGTAATATTACAGTCTTAACATTACAGTAATATTACCACACTGGAACCAAAAAAAAAAATAAAAAGTTCCCAAAAAAATTCAATTTTTCTTAGGCAAACGATTTCAATACAATTTCTTGCACAAAATACACCTAAAAGTGTAAAAAAAAAATTGTTAGCCAAATCCAAGTAGAGGAAGACCCCTATTACCACCAAAAAGCCATCCAAAATCATAAAGAAGTTCCCAAAAAAATTCACTTTTTCTTAGGCAGACGATTTCAATGCAATTTCTTGCACAAAATACAGCAAAAAGTGAAGAAAAAAATTGGCAACCAAATCCAAGTAGAGGAAGACCCCTATTACCACCAAAAAGCCATCCAAAATCATAAAGAAGTTCCCAAAAAAATTCAGTTTTTCTTAGGCAAACGATTTCAATACAATTTCTTGCACAAAATACACCTAAAAGTGTAGAAAAAAATTATTAGCCAAATCCAAGTAGAGGAAGACCCCTATTACCACCAAAAAGCCATCCAAAATCATAAAAAAAATCCTAAACAAATTCAATTTTTCTTAGACAGACGATTTCAATGCAATTTCTTGCACAAAATACACCAAAAAGTGTAGAAAAAAATTGGCAGCTAAACCCAAGTAGAGGAAGACCCCTTTTACCACCAAAAAAAAGAGGTTGGGCTGTATTTCGAATTAACGTATAATATTACACTAATATTGCCCGGTAATATTACGTACTACTTGGGTTGGTTTAAATACAGTTTATTTAATTCCTATCAAAATTATTTGGTTCAATTACATATATTTATTGGATAATAGTCAATTAACCGATTATTTGAACCGATTAAATTTTTTTTTCAGTGTGCAAAATTAAAAATATAAAAATAATACACTGAAAGAAATTTCATAGGAAAAAATAACAAAATGCGTATTACATTTTAATATATTCTTTTAGAATTTAGGGAAAAGTGTACTTTTTATTAAAATTCAATATACTTTATATTAAAGTTCCAACTTAAAATCTTTTTTCAAATATTAATAATTATTGTAGAAAGAACGTAAAAAGATTACCAATATTTGAAAATATTATATTAAATTCTCATAGAGTTGTTGCATTATATGGAATGTAGCGTTCTAATATTTGTAAAACTTTATACGAAAAATTCAGAATGTCAGAAGAAAAGGGAAAAAAAGCGGAAACTGTCGGACGTTTCCGTTAATTCTCGGGAGGAAGAGAAGTGAGACTAGGAACAACACATTCACACTTACGATACAGGTTAATACACATACTAATGAACACGCACGTTCATTTCGCTTATACATAGACATTACACGATCGCAACGAAACCTACACTTACAATTCTATACGCATAACGATAACTTTCGCTGGGGGTCGGCATATATCGTTTTCTTATATACTAACTACTGAATATTTTTACCACTTGCGAGAAAGAAGTTTACTTATAATAACTTAATAATAAAAAATAGTTTACTAGTGCCAATGGTGTAATTTTATAGAGGTTACGCTGGGTTCATTTTTATTATTAATTGTTTATATAGATTTTTATTTTTTTTCAGATTAAAAATTATGATTGTTATAAAAATTTTTATTGCAAATAAAAATTAAATAATTGTAAAGATGACATCAAAAAATAAAAATTAATAAAAATAATAATAAATTTAATAATTAATAATAAATTTATTATTATTAAATAACTTTAATAAAACATTTTTTATAAATTGAAAATAAATTAGGTACGTTCTGCTGGTTAACAACACTTTCGAAAATCGGATCAAGTCGTAGAAGTTCGAGTAGGACACGAAGCCGCAAACAGACAGAACTTCGGTTAAATTCGTAGTCTCTCGGGAAAATCCGTGACTTTTAATATAAAGTTTTACAAAATGTGAAATAAGTATACGGATATATGTTATTTTTCTTACTATTTTGTGAAATTATTTATTATAATATTTCGTATTCTGTGAATTCATAAAGAAAATACTAATTTTTAAAATAAATATACTAATTCTTATTTCTTAAAATAATAGTTACTCTTAAATTCATTATATATTTTCATAAAAACTGTAATAGTAATCAATATAGGTGCACTTTTTCCCTAAATTGTAACATTTATATTAAACTCTAATATGAGTTTAATACTTAGTAGTATGAATTTTCTTTCAGTGTAGTAGTTTATTAATTAATTTGATGATATCAATAAAAATCACCCTGTATAGGGTAAGTATATCAATTACTGCTGATGTCCCAATTACTGCGATTTCCATAAAATTAGTAAAACTCACTAATTGAGAACATAAAATTGTTTCAAAAAGACTTTAAAAATTATTCCAAATGATATTTGATATTATATCCACTAAAGATGCATATTTCGAATATTATCAAATTAATTATTCAAGTTTCAATTGAACCTATAATAGTAATTAGAGCATTCGTATATTTTTGTCATGCTGCTATTACTGTGGTCTATCCAGTAAACCTAACCTCTAAATCAACTCTTTTAGCGCTGCAGTAATTGGTGTACACGATGCGCGCAGTAATTCATGCAAACCTGCAGTAATACCAGCATATGCCATTTTTAAAAAAGTTAATATTTTTAATAAAATATTTGTTTTTTCTCAAGTTTAAATAAGTATCGTTTCTATTTCAATTGATACTAATAGTGATTTTTAACAAAAAAAATAATTAATTATTTCACTTACACTTCTATTATTTTATCATTAAAGTGGGTTTTGGATTGCGTACATCACAGTAATTGGGACATTTACCCTAGTAAACTACATATGTAGAATACAATCAAAATTACTTAATTTACATTTCCAACTCTGAATCGGGATAAGACAAAAACAAATTTTTGCTTGTAGCGCTGCAGAAGGACGAGGGAAAATGTCAAACTAAAGAAATTAGGCATTTTAAATGTACTTATGTATGTTTTAAAATAAGCGATATATCTAACCGTTTAGACAATTTAAAAAAACGGTGGTGGTTGGTTTACCCCACTCTCTTCTATTTATATTGAGCTTTAATTGGTAATAAAAGTAAACTTACATTTGCAGTATGAATCTTCCAAGAATCAGAAAGTAAGGTTAGAGAGTCGGTGAAATCCGGTTGCCGACAATTTACAACGAAGTACGTTGCGGCACTTCACGCATAAAACTTATTCAATTAAAAATAAATTTCTCAGTTTAAAGCAAATGAATTACATAGAAACCATTTTGTTAACAGTTTTCACAATTTTTCATTATATTACGCTTTTGTAGTCACGATATATAATCACAATTGTCTAGCTTTAATCTTGCAACAGCTGACCATTAAAAAGCATTGAATAAGAATCATCCCGTCTCCTGGCGTTGTGATTTAAAAGAACAGTCACAGCTATACAGGTTGTCATGGTAACGTGCAGTCGTTGTCTTTTCTTTTCTTGGCTTAATGCTGATTCTACACTTCCCTAAAACTGCGCGAGCGGTCCGCATTTGCGTTACTTTGTCATTGTCCTTTTCTAACTCTCATGTTGTCATGGCAATACGTGAGTTAGAAAAGGACAAAAATAATTTTAAATATTTCTGAAAAATATAAATGTACGAAGAATAAATGGGGAACAAATAGACCTTTTCATGCTGATCATTCCGGTTGCGATTATGATTCCGGTTAGGTTGCTATTCTGCTCAGGCCTTTACAAGTTTTCGTTAGACATAAAAAAAACGTAACCGGAATCGCAATCGTAAACGGAAGAACGTATTGCAATGCAAAGAACGTATTGGGAACCGCAGAGCTGCAATACGCCATCTGGTGTCGACCCACTTGCGGTAGCCATTTTTTATTTTGTCTCTGTCTAACATATGTATAAAGAAAGAGACAAAACAGCAAGATGGTTGCCGCAAGTGGGTTCAGGGTTGAGTAGTTACACAAGATTTCGGATCTTAATAGCGCACACACAACTTATGGCCTAAGCACAACTTGGTCGAGTACGCAAGTCGAACACGGGATATGTTAGGCTGCAGTCCCATGGCAGCGTTTTGCGTTGCGTTTTGTCACTAGACCATGAGTGTAAAAGAGATGCAGATATATGTTTGCTATGTTTACACTCAGGGTCTAGTGACAAAACGCAACGCAAAACGCTGCCATGGGACTGCAGCCTAAGTTCCCGCAACCATCTTTAATTGTGCGTTGAAAAAACGGTTCCTCCAATGTTTTGCGCAACCGTTTTTCAACGCACGATTAAAGACGGTTGCGGGAACTTACATATCCCGTATCCGTTCTGCTTAGGCCTTTAACATTGCAAGCAAATGAATTAAGGCCTGAGCAGAATAGAAACGTAACCGGAAGAATGAGGCTGCAGTCCCATGGCAACGTTTTGCGTTGCGTTTTGTCACTAGACCCTGAGTGTAAACATAGCAAACATATATCTGCATCTCTTTTACACTCATGGTCTAGTGACAAAACGCAACGCAAAACGCTGCCATGGGACTGTACCCTGAGTTAAGGCCTGAGCAGAAGAGAAACGTAACCGGAATCGCAAACGCAACCGGAATAATGAGTTGGAGAAGGTCAAACAATATTTCTATCCTTTTCTAACACATTCTTCCGGTTACGTTTGCGATTCCGATTACGTTTCTCTTTTGCTCAGGCCTTAACCGGAATCGTAATCACAAACGCAACCGGAAAAATGAGTTAGAGAAGGATAGATAGATTGTTTGTCTTCTAACTCATTCTTCCGGTTGCGTTTGCAGTTACGGTTCCGATTACATTTCCATTCTTTGTTGGCCAAAACGTAGTTATGTAAACACAGCCTTACGACTCGATGTGATTTCACCCTTACGATATCACTGTGCCAAGGCCTAATATTCTTTATGAAATTATTGTGCGTTAGCTCTTAAGTATTCAACTTTGGTCGAGCAATCTTTATCTTCCAACGTATCACCAATATATTAACAAGAAATAGAGAAATTTATTAGAAATTGTTTTTTAAATATATTTAAATATAACTTTTTATTCAACAGAGTAAGTATATGATTATTAAGATATTATTTATAAAGTTATATATTGTTTTCTAAAGTATAAAGTTTTATGTTTCTTTTACTTATGTAAAATTACTTTCGGTTAGATAAAAATTCGAGTCCCTTGAATAATGTCGAAATTTTACTTAGAATAACTATAAAAAAATAGATTGTATGCACTTGCTACACAGCAATAACAATACATTTTTTAACATAACATTTTTTTATTTATTTATTGATAAGTCTTTCAGGCTGTCAAATGGGTTTTTGCAACATGTTTTACAAGACTCGAATATTTTTAAACCGATAAAATAAGTAAATTTTTTTTTTTTTTGCTGTATTTTACTTTTTATTTACGCAAATTTTTAAATGAATTAGCCAATCGTAATGAGTAGGTATACTAAGTTCTAAATTTTATTATTGTATTTTATTATTTTTTAAAATTGAACAATTAGAAATTATCAAGAAAAACGTGATTGGTAAATAATATAATAAAAGCTCCGTAATATTTTCTATTGATGTTGGTGTTTTAAAAAATTATAAAAAATTAACAATTTGTAGAAATGAAAATTTAGGCAAATTAAGATTCTGTGAATTGAAAAATTTAGCATTTAAAAATTTCAAGGACTTAAAATTATTTTAATAAGAAATTTTTTTTAATTAAATTTCGGTTACATTCGAATTCTTTTAAATAAAGTTTGGTAAAAAAAAAAAAATTTTTACTAAATAAAAGTTTGGTACATATCTAACAATTCTCACGGTTGCCACGGGTCAGGGAAATCATGGAAAAGTCAATAAAAATATTTCTTAGTAATATTATCAGGGTCAGTCCACTGACTTTCGTCTAATAGTGATTGCGACCAAATATTTAAATAAAAATCTAGTTTTAATATAAGTGAAACTCGGTGATTCCCTGAGTTCATTAACCATAATATTATGGTAAAAATTTTATTCCCTTTAAAAAAATTAAATATCAAAAGTAGGAGGTTCACGATTTGATTTCGTAACCAGGGGCCAACGAATACCTATTAAATATTAATTTTAAAAACACAGGCCTCGAATCAACTTAAAGACACAAAAAAGTCGTTTTAGTCGATTTATATTCCAAAAAACAGTGGATTTGTTTTTTATTTTAACAAAAATATTTTACAGATTTTTAAATAAAAATTTTATTTTTAATAATAATCCTTTTCGAAGGGTTAAAGTTGAAATATTTAGAAATAATTAAATTTCAAAAGATATTGTTAATTTTCAAACAATTATTAAATTTTACAGAACTAAAAATAATTTATCAAACAATTTATGGAAAACATTTTTTAAATTTAATTGAATTTTTTAAAGATTTAAAATTGAGATTTTTGAAATTAATTGAAACTTTAAGTGTTTTGTAATTAAAATTTTAGATGATTTCACTAAAGATTTATTAGAAAATGCGGACAAAATACAATAATCTGAAAATCATTTTTAATTAAAAAATGGTTTCAGATAGTTGAAATTTCAAAGAATATTATTAAAATAGTTAAAAATAATTGAATTTCCTTAGAGTTATAATTGAAATTATTAAATTTCAAAAAAAAAATTTTCGATGGAAAATTTTAGAAATAATTAAATTTTAGATGCTTTTAAATTCAAATTATTGACAATTCAATTAATTTTGAATTCAAATTTTTGAGAATAATAAAATTTTATTTGATTTTAAATTTGGAAAATAATTGAATTTCAGTTCATTTTGAATTGAAAATTTTGGGAAATAATTGAATTTTAATTGAAATTTTGGATAATTAATTTTGAATAGAAATTTTAGAAAATAATTGAATTTTATTTCATTTTAAATTGAAAACTTGGTAAATAATTAAATTTTAAATTGAAAATTTTTTCATAATTATTGGATTTTTAATTGATTTTGAATTAAAATTTCGGGTAATAATTGAATTTTAGTTTATTTTGAATTGAAATTTTTAAAAAATAATTCAATTTTATTGTGATATTTTTTTTTAAATTAAAACAATTGTTAAATTTCATAAAAATTTTAATTGAAAAATAATTTTGATATAATTGAATTTGTGATGTATTTCATTAAAATTATTAAAAATCTAATAAATTAAATTATTATTGATAATATTAATCTTTAATTTCTTTATAACAAACAATGAAATACTCAATTTGGCGCCCTAACGCGCGTTTAATTTTGCTAGTTATCAAAAAAATATTAAAAATTGGATGTTGGAATTCACCAAAAACATAAATCACTTTATTTTGCACACAGGAACGAAAGAATTATTTCAAAAATTTATTATTTATAGATGATATATGATTTTGAAAAAAATTTTATTAAAATATTTTCAAAATTTTTATTTACTTATAATTATTTTGTCGGTGCTCCAAAAAAAATTGAGGTTTTGCACATAGATTTTCCTTCTATTAAAATCTCACGAAGATGTTTTGCTTCGTTTTGGAGATATTAATTTTCAAAATTTTTTATTTAAAAAGATTGAATAAAAGACTTGAAGTTAACCGACCAATTTCAAATCGCTACATTTTAACATATTTTTGTATAAAAAAATGGAGTAGTTTGAAATTGGTTAGTTAACTTCATGTTTTATAATTAACCTTTTAGATAACATTTTTTTGAAAATTATTATCTCCATAACGAAGCAAACACCTTCGTGAGATTTTAATAAAAGGTGAAGAATATTATTAAAATCTATGTGCAACACCTTAATTTTTTTGGAGTACCGACAAAAAAAGTTATAAGTAAATAAAAATTTTAAAATTATTTTAATAAAATTTTGTTCAAAATTATATATCATCTAAAAATAATAAATTTTTGGAATAATTCTTTCATCTCTGTGTGCAGAAAAAAGTGATTTATGTTTTTGGTGAATTCCAACATCCAATTTTTAATATTTTTTTGATAATAGCGTTATTTACAAAAAATTGAAAAATGTAAGGTTACGAAATCTATTCGTAAACCTCCTACTTTTGATATTTAATTTTTTTAAAGGGAATAAAATTTTTACCATAATATTATGGTTAATGAACTCAAGGAATCATCGAGTTTCACTTATATTAAAACTAGATTTTTTTTTAAATTTGGTCGCAAGCACTATTAGACGAAAGTCAGTGGACTGACCTATCAACAATTTTTCTTTTTAAACCACCAAATTAAACTTAGACAAATATTTTCAAGATTTCAATTCAGTTTCAGAACAAATTTTCAAAAATAATTTAAAGTTTCATTAAAAAAAAATATATATTTTCATGTCTGATTTATGCACATTATTCAAATTCATAAATTTTGGAATATGTTTTAAATAATTAAATTTTCCAACAATTTCATTAAAATATTATTGAGAAAAAAAGTTAATTTTAAATATGAGAATTCGGAAAATGAAAATTCATCAAAAAAAAATAATTATAATATGTAATAGAATTCTTTAAAATAAAAATTGTAATAATTATTTTTATGAAATATACAGGTGTTTGGAAAGAAAAAAAAGTTTGCCTACGATGCCAAGAAAAATCATTGTTACCTGGTGGTTCCTTAGCACCCCCTGAAACGAGAAAACTTAACCCGAAAATCGTAGCTGTTCATTTATAAAATTTCGAAATTTTTTCAAAAAACTTGTTTTCTAAGGGTCAGAGATAAATTTTAAATTATGTTAATAATTTTTATCTATGTAGGTGTGTTTGTAGGATCTCATTTTCTAGGTACAAGTGATTAAAAATTTTTTTAATAAAAGAACTCGAATTCGTAACTTTTCTTTTATGTAGGTTACGATTTTGGATGATTTAATTAGTAAATAAATAAATTTTAATTTTTTCGAGAAGTTAAAAATGTGTATTTTTACTACAAAAAATATTGAGATGTCCTTGTTTGTTATTTTCGAGATATTAATTATTTAATTATTTAACGTTAACAAAAGATAAAATATTTTATATACAAATAAAGTTATCGTAATTCTGACGTTATAAATTAAAAGCTACCGTAATTCCGCATCCAACGAGCCCTATATGAAGAATTTTGGGTTAGTGGATTGTTAATAAATAATCGCATAACATTGCAATTGTTTATAAAAATCCCTCTAATTCAAAATAGTTCATATTAGTCTCGTTGGATGCGGAATTACGTCAGCTTTCAATTGGTAACGCTAAATTACGATAACATTATTTGTTTATAAAATATTGCATTTTTTATTAACATTAAATAATTCATTAATTAATATCTCGAAAATAACAAAAAAGGACATCTCAATATTTTTTGTATTGAAACTACACATTTTTAACTTTCCAAAAAATCAAAATTCACTGTTAATTAAATTATTAAAAATCGTCACCTATATAAAATAAAGGTTACAAATTCTAGTTTTTTTTAATAAAAAATTTATTAATGGCTTGTATCTAGAAAATGAGGTCCTACAAACACATTGACATAAATAAAAATCATTAACATAATTTAAAACTTATTTCTGACCCTTAAAAAATAATTTTTTTGGAAAAATTTCAAAATCACCACTAGAAAGGGGTGAAACTTCTCTAAATGAACAGCTATGATTTTTGGGTTAAGTATTCTCGTTTCAGGGGGTGCTAAGGAAATAGAGGTAGTTTTAAAAAATAACTTCCATTTTGCAGATTCAGTTGAACTAAGTTTAAAATTAATATAATGTCTGGAAGAAGGGGAAGTCGGATCCCTATTGAGGACACTTCGGAAACTACATCTGAAGTTCCTGATAGTTTAACGTAAGACTAAAATCTACTAATAACATTGTGCGACAGCCGAAAAACACTTTTTATCTGTCCTACTAGAGGTTATAAGGGTAACAAAAAACTAAGAAGAATGGTATATTAAAAATTTCTCTAACACCCCCAAATTTTAATTTTAGAGCCAAAAAACCGTTTTCACGTATATTTATTACTAAAACCCTTGTAACTTTTTTAATTTTGCACCGATTTAAAAGTTGATTTTTTCACACTGAAAAAAGGATTTGGTATTGAGAACCAAACGTTTTGTTGGTATTTAAGCAACCAAAATTTTTTTGTTGGATCAACAAAATTTTAATTGTCTCAACCAAAATTTGTTGGACACAACCAAAGTTAGAAAAAAAGGATTTTTTTTGTCCTAACTAAATTTTAATTGTGACAACCAAAATTTTGTTGATTCAACAAAAAAATTTTGGTTTCTTAAATACCAACCAAACGTTTGGTTGTCAATAACAAACCCTTTTTTTCAGTGCATTTTGAAGCTAAAAAACAGGGCTTTTCAACCCATATAGAGTTTTTTTTTGTTAAAAGTAATATTTACTTTAACTGATGTTTACCACATTAATTATGTTTTAAACTTTTTTTTTCTTCATGTAATATTCAAGCGTACTAAATTGTGCGTCGAACGAGCCCTATTTGAATAGTTTTCTTTAAAAAAAAAACATTTAAATGGGTGCAAAATTAAAAATGTTACAAGGGTTTTAGTAATAAATATACGTGAAAACGGTTTTTTGGCTCTAAAATTAAAATTTGGGAGGGTTAGAGAAATTTTTAATATACCATTCTTCTTAGTTTTTTGTTACCTACAACCTCTAGTAAGTCCGATAAAAAGTATTTTTCAATTTTTTTTTTTGTAACACAGTGTAATCTAAATTGTACGAAACAATTGTTATTGTACTAATATTTCAGAAGTGATTCAACTTATACTCATGAATCTCCAAAAAGCTCATCAACACCATCGCTTGTTGATTATTCGCCATTACTTTCACAACCATCAAAATTGCCAACAAGAAGAAACATTTTACATAAACCCAAATCACATAGTGAGTTAGAAAAAAAATTTTAAATTCGATGATTGAAAATTATTATTTGAAAAATATCATTTTACATTTTTATAGACTCGCGTTCCCGTAGAAAATTAAGTATTCGTTCTTCTACTTCTTCTTCTACTACGGCTGAAAATTTTCGAGAACAACGAATTCAATTGAAACATTTAAATGAGAAGACCAGTCTCTTCTATTATGTAAAAAATGGAATGTTGCTTAATGTAAGATTTTTTTAATATTGATGATTTTCTTCTCAAAAAAAAAAAAGAAAAATATTAACATTTTTTATTTTAAATTTTTGGTTCTTTTAATTATCAGGGCATTGTAGACGCCTGGATTAAAGAATACAAAATTAGTCAAGCAGATGGTGTTTTATTATTAATGCAATTTATTATGGATTCAGTTGGTTGCAAAAAATTTATTACATCTGAAATGTATAATAGTTTAACGTTAATTAACGACATTGATAAAACATTCTCCTTTACTGTGAGTATTTCAATTTAACGTTAAATAATAATTATTTTACTATAGAAAATTTTACAAAATAATTTTATTAATTTTTCTTTTATAAAGGATGACGGAAAGTATTTATTCATAAGAACCGGTTTAGAATGGAAGGAATTTTATGAAAATTTTTCTCATTTTATTGAAATTTTGATAGAAAAATGTCATAAAAGTGATATACTTTATGACAATTATTTTGAAAAAAAATTCCTTCGGTTTTTAATTAAATTATCGAAATCGCATTATCAAGGCTTCAGACATACATCAACTCTTGCAGGTATTTAGAAAATTTGTTTTATTTTATATGCTGTGAAAGGTAGGTCTCAAAAAAAACAACCCACAGTGGTTTAGAATTGCAATTTACTATTCACGACCGCCTACAGCCTTCAATTATTATTGATGGATTTTGACGTACTTGTTTTAAAAAAAAATCTTCAGTGATAATTTCCCCAGACCGCCATTGGACCGGATTTTTGAATTTCAGTTGGCAACATTTTTTATTTAAACAAATAAGTTGAAAAATGAGCCTACAAACAATATTTGTTGTATATTTTTGAAAAAAATAAACTATTTAAATATCTTTTTAGTCACAAATATGGCCAAGGATAAAAAATGCGCTATGAAAAATTTTGTTTCAATTGTTATTAAACAATTGTCATAAACAAATACCTATAAATAACCAAAAAGTAGAAAAAAAATTGTTTTTTTCTGCTACAATAATTACAAGAATAGTTTAAAACAAGAATAGAATGTATTGCTCTAACCTCAGAAAGAAAAAAATATATATCAAAATCAGATGTAATGGATGAAATTAATAATCAATGGTTAGCGTTTTTAAATAATCCAAACAGTGAGATAATTAACAAAGTGGCATATTTCATAGTTCAAATACTGAAAAAGGAATAACTGTTAGAGGATGAGAAAAAGAGAAACTTATGTTAATTAATTATTACACTACTCTTACTTATGTTATTACCAGAAAGTGAACTCTTTTGTATGGATTTCAATAATCCGCAAGTAAATAAAGAAATACAATAGTTTAAAACAAGGAGGGGGTCTTTTATGTTTATTTTATAAACATTTTGCTTCCTCATTGTGTGAAAGAAAAAATTTGCTTCCTCGTGGAGGAAGCAATAAATTTCTCCAATTTAATTGATTGATTAAAAAACATTTCGTGTGCTTCTAATAAAAGTCGGTCTACAGCCGCAATTTTAAGAGTTTGATGAGTTCAAAGAGTTTAAATAAAAGTTGTGAGCAAATTGTAAAGACCCCTCAGGTGTATACAATGAAATCAATTTAATTAATTACTTAATTATTCTGTTTTTGTAGGAACAGCAAAATATTTATAAATAAATATTAACCCTCAACTGGCACCATGGGTCCAGTAGACCCGAGCATTTTTTTCGAGCTCAAATTGAAGCAGGAGGATATTTCATAAAGAATGTTTATTATTCAGATAACTTCAAAAACAAAAATCCCTCGAAAAAGAGGAATACAATTAAGAATGTTTCATAAACAAAATAAATCTAATCTATTAAAGATTATTTATCTGCATTGGAAATTTTTTTTATAGACAGGGTGTCTAACGGTCAGAGAAGTCAGGGAATTTAAATCGTCAGGGAAAAGTCAGAGAATTTCTTTAATTTTCTGCAATTTTTTATGAATAAATTAAAGTAACTATTAGTTTCAAATTTTTTTTTACTTTTTTCCCAAAGCAAATGCAAATTAAAAAGTTGGCCTTCACACTCAATTATTAAACATGTGATATATCTTATATTCATTAAATAAATAATTATTTACTACTATTTATTGAATCTAATAAATGATTTTTTAAACTTGGAACAATTAATTAATTTTTTCAGTGAAATATTTGGTTTTTTAATATAAATAAAAATTATTTGATACAATTTTATTTTATCGGTTCAACTTGAAATAAAGTCAATTATTCATTAATACGAATAATTTATTATTTAATGCTAATACCTTAGCTTATAAAAATTTTTACGGCGTCGAATATTAAATTATCGAATTTCTATTTAGCAAAATTATATAAAGTAGATTTTATATTATGCAAAATTTTCATATAGAAGAATTTATATTTAACTAAAATTCGATTTAAAAGAAATTCTATTAAGCAGAACTCTTATAAAGCATTTTTTCTAATATTTTTTTAAAAATTTTAAATTAATATAATTTCAATTTAACGAAATTTATGTCTCTAAAAATTGACAAAAAAAAGAACTAAGTAGAATTTTGTTAAATAGAAATTCTGTTAATTGTGGATTTATTTAATGACAATTCTGTTAAGTTAATATTTTGTTAAATTGAAATTTACTAAACTAACAATTCTGTTAAAAAATGTTTTCTTCATGCAATTTTTCTTGACATAAATTTCGTTAAATTGAAATTGTAATAATTTAAAATTCGATGTACTAGAAAATCTGCTTTATATAATTTTAATTTTACTAAATAAAAATTTGATAATTTAAGATTTAACGACGTAAAAATTCTTTGAAATTAAATGTTGAGAATATTTAAATACGTCCTAAATTAGTTTATTTATTTCACTTAAATATTTTATTTTTTACGAAACATTATTTATTTGGTTCAAATACATATGAAATTAGCGGATAATAGACAGATAAATGATTTAATTGTATCAACATAAATTTTACTTGATCAAAATAAAATTTTTTTAGTGTAATTAAGGTCAGGGAAAAGTCAGGGAATTTTTTTCCTATAGCAGTTGTTAGACACCCTGGTCTCAGAAGAAATTATCCCTTTTATATTAGGCAACCAAAGTTACACAATAGTAGACATTACTGTACTCCTGAATAGTAGGCAATCCAACACACAACTCTGAATAATTTACTAAAACCGAAGTTTTACTTTCTTTATTTACAGGCGTAAAAATTATTTCCAGTTTGGTGAAAATTAACAAATCCTTGGAAAATTCTTCAAATAATGTTTCTGGCTCTGAATCAGATATGGAAAATAGTCGAGTAAATAAATTAATTGTTGAATTATTTGAAGAAATTTTTGGCCTTAGATTTATTGATATTTTTGCTAAAATTCGTTTACTTTGCATACAAGAATTCGACATTTGGTTAAAAATAATACCTGAATTGTTTATTAAGGAGGATTGTCTGAAATATATTGGTATATTTTGTAATTTTTTTTAGTTTTCAACTAATTTAATGTTTTTTTTTTAAATTGATAATTCTTTTTCAAAATACAGGACGTTCAATTTTTGATAGCGATGCAGAAGTGAGATTAAAATGTCTTGAAATTTTGAAACCATTGTACACTTTAAATACAACGATAACAAAAATAGAACATTTTACAACAAAATTTAAAAAAAGATTAATTGCAATGACACTTGATGTTAATCCTGATGTTGACGTTGTTGCAATGCAAATTGTTATAGAAATTTTGCAAAAACAACCTAAAATTTTAGATGCTGATGATTTAAATAATATTTTTAAACTTGTGTTTGATTCATATCAACCACTCGCACGTTTGGCGGGTACATTTTTAAAAATCTACATTTCAACTTCACCAGAGTCAGACAATGATAGTATAACTTCAGATGGAATTTCAAATACAAATTTCATTCGAGATTTAGTAATTTTTTTCTCCGAATTTGAAGATTCTCTACCAAATGAGCCGAATACAACTCAATGTGCCAATTTATTTGTCGACTCTTTATTTAATCATTGTGAAATAATAAAAGATTGGGAATTCATGACTAATATATTACTCGATGATGATGAATCTTTTAATGAAGAGATGAAAACATCTTTGATATTTATTATGATTTCTTCTATTAAACAAGCAGCTACAGGTAAGAATTTTTTATGCCTTAAAATTATAAAAATACATGAAAAAAAATTTCCAACACGATTAAAATGAAGTCGACAAAAAAAAAATGATTTTGTTTCGTAATTATTATTTTTTTGTGTAACAATTAACTGAAAACAATTTTTAGGTGAAATTCCAAAATCTCGTGAATCTAAACAGAAGGTAACTGCAAATTCAAAAAGAATAATTAAACAAGATCAGGAAAAAATAACAAAACATTTTATTAAAATTTTACCTGATTTAATTGTTAAATATAAATTGGATGATAAAAATCTCGCTAATCTGCTTTTGATTTCTGAATATTTTGATTTAAATGTTTACACGAAATTTAAAGAAGAAGATTATTTGGATTTATTGTTAGTTGAAATTCAAGGTATAATAACAACGACTACAAATTGTAAATTATTAAAAAATGCCATTGCTGCTTTACAACGTTTGTGTACTGAGGGATATGCTATATTTAATAGGTGCGTTGATAAAAATAATTTTATATAATAATAAAATGCTTGGTCTGTCCTTCTGTTCTAACTTGAAGTTGGCCTTTTCTGATTTCACGTGTTTTTTTGAATAGTAATGTGTTAAATTTTGACAATTCTTTTTCTCATTTTTGCCAAAGTTGTATAATTGTGTTTCCAAATTTCGGAATAAGTTTCTTTAAAATTCCAAATTCGAAAATTCAATTCACGAAGCTGAAGTACACAACGTTTACCAACGAAATTTTTTTTAAAGTTGTATATTGATTCAAAAATTCTATACAAATACAAAAAATTTAGGATGAGAAAAAAGATGCGCCAGGAAATTTCGTACAAGATAGTAATTTGAAAAAAATTTATTTTTAAAAATTAATTTTTAAGGTACCAGGGGCCAACGAATACCTATTAAATATTAATTATAAAAACACAGGCCTCGAATCAACTTAAAGACACAAAAAGTCGTTATAGTCGATTTATATTCCAAAAAAAAATGGATTTGTTTTTTATTTTAACAAAAATATTTTACAGATTTTTAAATAAATTTTTTTTTTTTTAATAATAATCCTTTTCGAAGGGTTAAAGTTGAAATTTTTAGAAATAATTAAATTTCAAAAGATATTGGGTCATTTGGGGTAAATGTGAACGGATTTGCTTAGTTTCGACAATAACGTAAGTTTTTTATTTTAAAAAGCAATACTTCCGGTTTTCTACTGCATGAACTTGTTACTTCACTTCCCTAGAAACATTTTATGAGGTACAAAAAAATATTGATCAACTTGAATCGCTTAAAACTGACTGTTTACATTTACCCCGAGATTTTGAAATTTTCCCAAAATTCGGGGTAAATGTAAACACCCTTGTAGTTTAAAGAGGTTTAAGAAAAAAGTTATCCCAAGTATACTACTGTGTAAAGGGATGTAAAAACTGAAAAAAAATTCTTGGTAGATGTAAAAAAATTGAACCAATTGATTGATATGCAACATATAAAATAAGCAATCATTACCATAACAAAACTAGTAATGTAAAAACTTGAATAACTTCTATAAATTTTAATAGATTTTTATTCAACTTGGTGAAAATAAGTTTTTAAGATTGCTGAATATGATTCTAAAATCGAATTTTTAAATTTCAAAATGGCGGATCCAAAATGGCGGACAAACATACAAATATTGTTAAACATTGATCAAATTTGCTTGAATTTCGCTACTCGGGGGTTTTTGAGGTCACTGAATACGAATTTGAAGACAAATTTAAAATTTTCAAAATGGCGGATCAATCAACCAATCAATCCACCAATCAATCACTCAATCAACCAATCTATAATTCAATCATCCAAGCAACCAATCTATCCACCAATCAATCACTCAATCAAACAATCATCCAATCAATCCACCAATCAATCAGTCAATCAATCAAGCAATCCACCAATCAACCATTCAATCAACCAATCTATAAATCAATTATCCAATCAACCAATCAATCCACCAATCAATCCACCAATTACTCAATCAACCAATCCATAAATCAATCAACCAATCAATCCATCAATCAATCTATCAATCAATCATATTCATATTCACTCTTATTCTAGGATTCCTACGTACCTGAGTTTTATTCACCAATCGTGAAGAATCGCTTTCCTATATTTTAAACACGTAAATGCACTATGCAATACTATGCAGGTCTATACTTGCAACTGACTAACACGAAGGAGATATAAAAGAAGATCCAATTTCGTTTTTTATGTAATTTTACAGGGCCAAAATAATGTAATTGTGAAATAGAAGCAAATTTATTCAATTATTTTCTTTTAAAGTGCAGCAGAAATTCTGTTTACATTTACCCCGAGTTTTCGAATTCTCGGGGTAAATGTAAACACTTAATTATCTATTAACTGAATTGACGAAATTAAAAAATCAAAGTCAGCTTTTGTTAAGGGATTCATAAGGAATAATTAGAAATTTTAGTTTGAATTTTTAGTTCATTTTTATTCAAATGCGAGACAAAATACTGAAACAGTAAAACTTTGATTTTCAATCTTTCATGCATTAAGCGACAAATTGGAGTATGGCTTTGACAATTGTCGAAAAAAAAAATTGGCAATACTCAGAACCTGTTGCAGGTGAGCTGAGGTTAAAATATTGGGGTCGAACTTAATTTTAAATCTGTAAATTAAGCTGCAATATCTGCTGTTTACATTTTCCCCAAATGACCCTTGTTAATTTTCAAACAATTATTAAATTTTACAGAACTAAAAATAATTTATCAAACAATTTTTGGAAAACATTTTTTAAATTTAATTGAATTTTCAAAGATTTAAAATTGAGATTTATGAAATTAATTGAAACTTTAAGTGTTTTGTAATTAAAATTTTAGATGATTTCACTAAAGATTTATTAGAAAATGCGGACAAAATACAATAATTTGAAAATCATTTTTAATTGAAAAATGGTTTTAGATAGTTGAAATTTCAAAGAATATTATTAAAATAGTTAAAAATAATTGAATTATTAAAAATTATTAAATTTAAAAAAAAAAAAAAAAATTTCGATGGAAAATTTTAGAAATAATTAAATTTTAGATGTTTTTAAATTCAAATTATTGAAAATTCAATTAATTTTGAATTCAAATTTTTGAGACTAATGAAATTTTATTTGATTTTAAATTGAAAATTTTTGGGAAATAATTGAATTTTAATTGAAATTTTGGATAATAATTTAATTGAAGTTCATTTTTGATTGAAAATTTGGATAATTAATTTTGAATAAAAATTTTAGAAAATAATTGAATTTTAATTAATTTTAAATTGAAATTTTTGGAAAATAATTAAATTTCAATTAATATTAAATTGAAACTTTTGAAAGTAATTGAATTTGACTTGATTTTGGATTGAAAATTTTGCAAATAATTGAATTTTAGTTGATTTTAAATTGCACATTTTGAAAATAATTGAATTTCAATTGTAATTTTGGAAAAATATTGAATTTTAGTTGATTTTGAATTGAAATTTTGGAAAATAATTGAATTTTAATTAATATTAAATTGAAACTTTTAAAAGTAATTGAATTTGACTTGAAATTGAAAATTTTGCATAATTATTGGATTTTTAATTGATTTTGAATTAAAATTTCGGGTAATAATTTAATTTTAGTTTATTTTGAATTGAAATTTTTTAAAAATAATTCAATTTTATTGTGATATTTTTTTTTTAAATTTTAAACAATTGTTAAATTTCATAAAAATTTTAATTGAAAAATAATTTTGATATAATTGAATTTGTGATGTATTTCATTAAAATTATTAAAAATAATTAATTTAGTGAAGAATCATTTTAGTTGAAAATTTATTAAATAATTGAATTGAAGAAGATCTGAAGAAGATCTACATTTTATACTAAAAAAAAGTATTTTATTTACATTTTTTTTCAAATGTAAAAAAAATGTCGCATTTTATTAAAATAAGTCGATAAAAGTGGTATTTTTGAAAAAAGTCGGAAAAAGTCGTATAATCCGAGGCCTGTAAACATATAATTTTCATTATTATCATTTAATATGTAATAATATTCTAATAAATTAAATTATTATTGATAATATTAATCTTTAATTTCTTTATAACAAACAATTAAATACTCAATTTGGCGCGCGTTTAATTTTGCTAGATATTAAATAATTCTAACCAATTTTATAGTTTAATATTATATCAGACTTTACAGCATAAAAAATTTTCATGTAACTAATTTTTAATGATCACCTTAAAGATGATCTAGAATAAAATGATTATTTTTCAGATGTGATACAGTTCGTTCGAGAATAATTGATAAAGTGATACAATCATACAAAAGAAATGTTGAAGACTCATCAATTGCAAATGCAAATGGTGACAATAGTGATGAATATTTTTTAAATCTTACACAGGACCTCATGAGAATATCTAATTTGTATAAATACTTTGATCTAAATCCATGGAGAATTTGGGATTTACTTCTGGAACATACTATAGATGCATTTTCAATGTTAGTCTACTTTAATAATTTATTAAATTAAAAAAAAAATATTCATTTAAATGATATATAATGAAAATAAAATGAAGTAATAAATGTTAAAACCTTAATATTATTCAAATTATATATCATTCATTATAGAAATAAAGAGCAATCGTTTCCTGATGAAGGAACTGAATATTGCTTGATGTCATTATATTTTTCGATTTTATATGATCGACGTCATCTTAAAGATTGGATTGATTCAGATTCTCAAATTGAAGAACGATGTAATCAACTTCGTGATCATTTGGATACATTTATGGAGTTAATGATTGATATAATAAATGAGGAAAATATAAGAAAGGTATTTTGAATTTGTAATATGAACAGGGTTGTCACGGGTTAGAGAAAGTGAAATTGGTCAGGAAAATCAGGTAAAAGTCGGGGGATTTTATGAAAAGTACTGGAAAAATTACAGAAATTCTAAAAATGCTATTAAAATTTTAATTTTTGAAATTTTTAATTCAAATTTTTGCTTTTAAAAATTATTGTATTTCATTATTATAATTGTAGACGTCGAATCGACTTTTGAAAGAAAAAAAAGTCATTTTACTCGATTTACATATTACAAGAAAAGTCTAAAAAGTCCATTTTTTTTATTTTTAATAAATTTAATTAGTTGATAAATATTTTATTATTATTAACAATTTGTTATTGGAAATTAAATAAAATTCATTAATTCTTTATAATAAGAATATTTTACAGAAATATTTTCAACAATTTTTCTTCTTAAACCACCGAATTCAACTGAAACAAATTTTCAAGATTTCAATTCAGTTTCAGAACAAATTTTCAAAAATAATTTAAAGTTACATTAAAAAAAAGAAAAGAAATATTTTCAAGTCTGATTTGTGCACATTATTCGAATTCAGAATTTTGGATAATGTTTTGAATAATTAAATTTTCTAAGAATTTAAATATAATTGAAAACAAAAATCAATTTTGAATGAAAATTTCTGAAATGATTAAATTTCAGAAGTTATTTAAGTAAAATTTTAAAAATAGTTGAATTTGGAAGATTTTGATTTAAAATTTTTAGAAATAATTGAATTTCAGGAGATTTTCAAATGAAATATGTTCTAAATAATTTAATTTTGATGGAGTTACAGTTAAAATTTTTAGAAATAATTGCACTTTTTTGTTATTTCAAAAATTACAATTTCGTTGTAAATAGGTATAAACAAAATCGATTTAAATTATTGAATTTTTGGAAAATTAGATTAAAATTGTTGAAATAAATAATTAAACAAAGAATTATATAAAGATAAAAATGTTGGAAAAAAATTTTCAATTGAATTACCATTCAATTAATTAATCAATTACTAAATGAATTAGGAGGAGATCAAGTTAAATTTTTTTGTAAGTAATTAAATTTCAGAAGATTTTAAATTGAAACTTTCATAAATTTTAATTGATAACATTTTTTTTTTACTAATTATTAAAGAATAATAGAATTTTAGAGTATTCCGGGAGGAACTGGTGAAATTTCAATTCATCGAAATTAATGTTGTTAAGGGGTGTCAATTTTTTTTTCTGGCATTATTTGGTATCTAAAATTATTATGAATTATCAAAATTAGAAAAAGAAATTTTTTTTGACTATTTTAGAAATTTTATTTATTGTAAATATTAAAATTTTTAAAAATCCATACTATTAATTAAAAAGCCTACAAAAATTGTAGAGGAATTTGAATTTTTAAGCAATAATTGATTTTAATAAACTTGAATTTTTGAAATTTTTTTTTAAATTATATAAACAAAAATTTAATTTTAAACAATTAATATTTAAAAAACGTTTTATGTTATTGAATTTTTGAAACTCTTGATTAAAGTTATTAGAATTAATTAATTAATTGAAAAAGAAATTTTCAAAACAATTTCAAGTTTAAATGAAAAATTTAGAAATATGTAATTGTATTTTACGAGTTTAAATTTTGAGAAATAATAATTGAATTTCAGGAGAATATTAATTGAAACTTTCATTTTGAATTGGTGAAATTTTTTTAAAAACTTTAGAAAATAATTGAATTTCAGTGAATTTTCAATTCACAACTGTTAATGAAATATTAATTTTGAGAATTTATTTTATAATTAAAAATTATAAAACTAGTGTTTTTATTTATATTTTCGTATTTAGTTTATCTATAACGAAAAAGAAAGATTTTTCTAATGTTTTATTTGCTTTGCCTTTTATTACCAAATTGAAAGTTCCATTTTATTTTTAATTTCGCAGTTTCAAAAGCATGAAATAAAATTAAAAATCAAATTTTTTGTTTTAAATCAAAAAAATGTAGGAATTTTTTTTCAATTTCTATAAAAAAAATTGTGTTTTACAATTTGCATGTATATTTATTTATTTATCTGATAGTCTGATACTTTAATTTTTTTCAGAAATAAAATGAAAAACTTTTTTATAATTGAAATTTTAAGAATAATATTTGTTTATGTATTTTTGATAAGTTTTTGATACAAATGAAATTTTGAAAATATTGAAAATAATAAATCAATATAATAATAATTTTATTTACAGCCTGTAGCGTTCGTTTTAAAAGAGAAAGCTCACACTTTATTTTGTGATTTATTACTTATTTTCTGTAATCAATTGGAATCGCATCCTAATCCTCTGATGCAAAAATTAGTTTATGAGACAAATTCCGAAATAGTAAATGCAATCTACAATTTTTTAGTCAATTACGTTTTCAACGATGACGATGATGGTTAGTATACAAATATAAAAATAATATTAATTTTAGAGGCATTTCTCTAGAATTTTTAATTGAATTAAATTAAATATTGAATTTAGTAATTTTTACCAAGAGAAAAAAAAATTCAGTTCTTCATCGACTTTCAAAATATGTTAATTTAAGAAAAAAAAAAGATTTTCAATTTTTTATAAACAAATTAAATTTTTTTAACTTTTTGACACGATTTTTTAAAATTCTTTTTTCATTTTTACTTGAAAAATTTAAACAAATTATTGAAATAAAAAGAATAATCAAAATATTTTTTTACAAAATATTTTTAGTATTTCCAGGTGAATAAATATAAAAAATGTGTAAACAAAATTGTTTCCAAAGTTAAAAAAAAAATTAATTTGTTTATAAAAAAATTATAATTTTAATCATTTATTTATTTATTATTTCTTATAATGATTGATAAAAATTTGTTTTTCTTTTCAAGAAGGAGAGGTGAATGAAAAAATTTTAATTGAACGTTTAAATATTAAAAGAAAACTTCTCTCCAATTATTGTAAACTTATTGCTTACATGATTATACCAATGAAATGTGCATCTCCTATGTTTACATATTATGATACATTTAACAAGAAATTTGGAGATTTATTTAAAGATACAATAATTGAAGCGATGAATATCAATAGAGTTAATTGTGCATTGACTTTATTGAATAGTTTAATTATTTTATTTGAAAAATTAATTGATGAAAATGACAAAATTAACATCAATAGTAAAGAATTTATAGCTATTAAGGTAAAAACAAAAAAAAAAAAATAAGTAAATAATGAAAAAATTGAAATATTCAATTTTTTTTTTAATATTTAAACAATAAAAAAAAATTGATTATAATAGTTTAATTAATTTACATTGTCTTATTAAATAAATTATCATTTATAGGAATTGGCAAAAAAATTTGCAATATTATTTGGCACCAACGCTGATAAAAATTCGGAAGCTATGTCTACTTTACATCGAACTGGAATTAATTTTAGTTTACAAGAATTGGAAAATTCAACAATTAATTTTACAACACCACCATTATATCTTTCTTTTCTTAACATTCTTTTTCTATTTACAAATAAACTCTTAAAGAAAGATAAAGTTGCCTTGTAAGTATTAAAAAAAAAGAATAATAATAATAATATAAACTGTTAATTTTATATTCTATATTTTTATATATATATAGATTGAAATATCTTGACGATCATCTTGAATGGGACATTGAATCTTTATCGAATGATAAGTGGTTGTCTTTAAAATTGTACAGAGCATCGTTAAATTACGATGAAGGAAAAAAAATCAGGTATATTTTAAAATTTTCTCAATATAATTTGGTAAATTTTTAATATTTATTTTTTCTTTGATCAATAAGGTTAGAAAAAAATTTATTTTATTTATAATTTCAGTAAAGAAAAGAAGAGTACACCATCAAGGAAATCTAAGTAAGTTAACAGAAATAAATTCTATAATTATTTTAATTTAATTAGTTTTCTTGATTTAAAAACGAAGTTTGTAATTTCATTATTTTTAAATATTCGTTTTTTAATTATACGAATTTAAATATTTAATCAAAATTTGCGACAAAACATTCACGAAAATTTAATTTAAATTTGCAGTCAACTTTTAGGCGAAACATTTATTTAAGTGGAACATTTAAATCTTTAGACAATTTTCACTATAATATTTGCAAATAAATACTGCGAAGTTTGCAAGTAAATCTTTAATAAATTTTTAGGAAAGTTTCGATGCTTTATGGGGGGTACCAAGAATTCTTATTTTATAAATTTCCTAAATCTAAATGCAAAAACGCGATTGCAAAATTGGAAATAGAAAAGTAATGTAATGACAGTTGTGCGACTTTGCGCTGCCATCTGACGGAAACGGGACGTAATAAACCTGTAATTATATTACTTTTCTACTTTCAATTTTGTGATTAGCTAAGCGTAGCCTTTTTTTTATTTGAAAAATAAAAATAGCGATTTTACCCCAATAGTGGGGGTAAAAACAACACATGATTATCTATAATTACTTTTTCAGATTAGAAATAACTAAAACAATAATACCACGAAAAATTACTTCTGGATATTCTGCTTCGCTTAAAGATGATGATATTTCGTCCGATGAAAGATCATCTATTCCAATAATCGAAGATTCCACTTTATCACCTTCAACATCATCATCAAACGCTGACAATGCTACTGGTGCTTACAATCCAGAAATAATGTAAGAGAAAAATTAATTTTTAATAGGTTTTATTTATTCTAATGGATTTTATTATTAAATAATAAATTATTTTTTCAGGGATGTGAGTTCAATTGAAAATTCTGGTGATTGGGTATAATTAAAAACTTCTTTAATAACTATAATTTTTTTTACGTTATTTAAACCACTACTTTCTTGAATTGTTAATTATTCAAACTTTGTATTTTCTTCAATCAGAATTTTACATTTACACTTTTAAATAAGGATTATAATATTATTGTCATGTTTTTTTCTTTTCACTTATGAGTTTTTGATTAAATAATTTAACTTCAAGAAGGCCATTGTGTTTTTTTTATTTTAATTAACATTTTTTTTAATAGAAGTCTTTAGTTAATCTAGTCATGGGACGTCGTTGAATTTCTTTGTATTTGGTATTCTGAAAGTTGAATTATACTTATTATTATTATTTATGTATTTACAGACTCAGTAAATTTTCTATGTGTAATAGAATTTAGAAATATGTTTAGAATTGCAGTTTTGAAAACTGAATTTTTGTTAAATGTTCTGTAAGAATATATAAGAAAATTGTACAATTTTAAAATGAAAAAAAAATTTATTGCTGTACAAAGTTCATTTTTTAAAATCCTCTACTTATGGTTCAAAAAATTTACAAAACCCCTTAATGGGAGGTTCTAGTCCAAATCAACAAAATTTATTTTTTATTGCTTTATTTTCATTCTTAGGGTCTTGAAATAAAAAAAAATTTCTAGAAAATTCTATAAATTTCTAGAAAGTTCTATAAATATCTAAAAAATTCTATAAATTTCTAGAAAGTTCTTTAAATTTCTAGAAAATTCTATAAATTTCTAGAAAATTCTATAAATTCCATCAATTTCTACAAAATTCTATCAAATTTCTAGAAAGTTCTATAAATTCCATCAATTTCTACAAAATTCTATCAAATTTCTAGAAAGTTCCATTTTCTATCAATTTCTATAAAGTTTTATAAGTTTGCAAAAAGTTCTATAGTGATCAATATATTTCCAGAAAGTTCTATTAATTTGTAGAAAATTCTATAAAATTTCTATAAATTTTCTAGAAAGTTCTATAAAATTTCTATAAATTCTATCAATTTCTACAAAATTCTATCAAATTTCTATCAATTTCTATAAAGTTCTATAAGTTTGCAGAAAGTTCTTTAAATTTCTATAGTGATCTATTTATTTCCAGAAAGTTCTATTAATTTCTAGAAAATTCTATGAATTCCATCAATTTCTACAAAATTCTATCAAATTTCTAGAAAGTTCCATAAATTTCTAGAAAATTCTCTAAAATTTCTATAAATTTTCTAGAAAGTTCTATAAAATTTCTAAAAAATTCTATAAATTTCTAGAAAATTCTATAAATTTTTTCAAAATTCTATAAATTTCTAGAAAGTTCTATAAATTTATAAAATTTTCTATAAATTTCTAGAAAGTTCTATAAATTTCTAGAAAATTCTATAAACTTTCTAGAAAGTTCTATAAATTTCTATAAATTTCTAGAAAGTTCTAGAAAATTTCTAGAAAATTCTATTAATTTTTTGAAAATTCTATAAATTTCATGACTTAAAAATAACCGATTTTATTTTTTCTTTTAAATTCGAGACTATTTAAAACAAGACGAGGTTTTTTTGAGTCAAAACGACAACTATTTTGAAATTTATTTGATTAAAAATTGTTTTATTCTAATAACACTCTAATATAATTATTTTTTGCTCATATCAAAAGTTTGGGAAAAAAAAAAAAATTTTTTACTGCATTAACGAATATTCTTCACCATTATAACTGCGAAAATGAATTTGTTTTTTAAGCGTCAATAATAATTTTAAAATTTGCACATTCGGATAAGGTAAAAATTTATATTGATTCGCAGAATCAAATCGATTTTGTAACATTGTATAAATTGATAGATTGGCATTATTAAGTTGTAACATATTTATCGTTAAATTATCAAAACGCATTAAATTCACATTTTTATGATCAGAACAAACATTACGTAAAACACACATTTCATTATCTTTTGCAATTTCATTTTCATTATTGTTTTTTTCATTAGTCTCATTCATTCGCAATAATTGTGGTATAGGACTACGACCAATAATCGTAAAAGCCGATGTAACAAGATCAACATTCATTCCTGGATAACGTTTATCCAAATCAATAGCAACATTTGCCAAACCTTTTTGTGATTCAGGATTAGAAAGTTTAAGACCATCGTATGAGTTATTAATATGCATAATATAAACTTCAATTGACAATATCCATTGTCCTTGTTCAACAGGATCCTGTAAAATTGCCCATGTAAAATAAAGATCCTTTTTTTCCGCTTTACGTATACATTCATATTCAAAATTTACATAAATCAAATGTGAATAATTTCCATTACCCTGATTTAATGTTGATGTAAATATTTTTTGTGTCTTACGAATTCCAAGTTTTGCATTTGACGATTGAATTTCACCAATGTAAATATATTCAACTAATTCATGAAAATTTTGATGACGATAAATTTTTGCTGGTAAAAATTTACAATGATTATCATAAACAACTTCTAAATAGAAACGTCGTAGAAATAAAAATTTTTTACCACCAGAACCACAACGCATTAAATATCCATCCTGTGTACAAAATGGATCACAAGCAAAAATTGTTTTTAATTTCAAATATTCATTAGAATTTTTCATTTCATTTTGATTAAAAAGAAAGAAACATACATTTTCAACTGCAAATAATGCAAGATGTGCATAATCAGACATATTAATACGACTCTTCATATAATTAATACCATGTAAAATTTTATTAATTTTTGCATAATGAAGATATTTTAAATGTATTTCAGTGCACTGTGGTCCATAAACAGTGATATAATTAATAAAATCTGAAAAATAGAAATAAAGTTCATAAACAGATAAATATAATTTATAATCATTGAATTTAATTGATTTAAAAGGAACGCCTGAAATTTCATTTAACATTATTAATTTATCACAACGTACAATTTCGATAAATGAATTTAAATTTTTAATAAAAAAAAAGAAATTAAAAAATATTTCATTACTGGAAATAATAATTTTATAACGTGTCGCTAGTCCACCATTAACAACAATATAATTTTCATTATTATTATGTAATATTAAACAATTCGAACAATTATCATTAAATGGTGAACATTTACATAATAATTCCATTGACCATTGATAATTTTTTTCCATTAAACATAAATCTAAAATTTTATTTAAATTCAATTGATTATTTAAATGTGGCACAATAACATCGGGTAATAATGAATATTGCCGATTAAATGCATCGATACTTGTTCCTTTTTCAAGTAAACACAAAAAACCACAATAATTTTCAGGTATTATATTAATATTATTATTTTTACATGAATTAATACGTGTGACTATTGAAAAAAATTCACGACGTCCCATTTGATGTGCTAATGGTTTACGATAAATATTTGACATTTCACGTGTTGAAATTAAAATTTTTTTCTCAACTAATTTTTTCTTTTTTTTCCTCTCACATTGCATTTCATGTATAAAATTTTTATTTTTTATTTGATAATCGGCAATATTTTGTGAATTATCACGTTTTAAATTTGTATTCTCGGCAGTCATTGAAATTAATTTATTCCATAAACCATTGTAAATAATATTAACAAGATTTGAATTATTTTTACAACGATAAAGATAGCGTCGTAATAATATTGATGGCGAGAGAATTAATTTATTCGATAGATCATCAATTGGTCGTATTGATTCAATTAAATAGAAAAAAATATGTTTAATTAATGATAAATTCCAACTAATGTGCCTTGATTCAATAGTATAGTCAATTGGTTTAATTTCATTGATATTATCATTTCCCTTATCGTCACGATATGTAAATTTTAAATTATAATCTGGACATTTTTCATATTTAAATAAATGTCCTTTACCATGAATATCATAAACATAACGAATAAAACATTTGTCTTTATTATCACCAATTGGTTGTTTGGATTTTATTTTTTTTCCTGTTATTGATGATGATGATGATGTGAAAAAATTTCTATTTGACATGTATGTTTTTTTTATTTGACTTCTCTTGACAATTGTTTTATTTGAAATAATATGAAACATTTCACGATTATTAGTCAATAAAAATGGTAACCAACAAAAACGACCACCAATAATAAAATAACCATATGCATCGGAATAATTTGATTCCGTCATTGCGTCTAATAATTTTAAACATGTTAAATCATTAAAATCTAATTCACGTGGCGGTGAATTTTTATAATCAACTTTACAATTGCATTTATTTAAAAATTTACGTCGTTTATTTTCATTATCGAATATTTGAAAACAACACAATTCCTCGCGTGCTAAATGAATTAATTGTAAATCTAAATTTGAACCCAACATAATTGGAAATGCATTACAAATGTGTTTTTCACTGTCTAAATAATTTACACACGAACAGTAAGCACCTTTTCGAAAATAACATTTTTTTAAATATGGATGTTGAAAAAATTTTAATTCACTATTTTCTTCTTCGTTGCCATTTTTATTATCATCATCATCATAATTAAGTTGTTGATAATAAATAATGGCATTTAAATCATTTTTCGAACATATATTAAATGTAATTTGATCATTTTGTTCAACATGATGAATTAAATCATTGTATTGTTGCATATAAATGTAAAAAAATTCTTCATTGTAGAGTTGACAGCGTTGTTTCGTTAAATTCTCCATAAAGTTTTTTTTTCACACAAAAATGGTAGAAAATTGTAAATTTAATTAAATTTTTACAAGACTAATTTCAGGCGATTTTTTTTATTAGAAAATGTCCCGCATAACTTCTATATATATATATAACGCAGCATCGAACAAAAATACTTTCTTTTTTGTCTATACATTTTTTTTTCGAGAAATTATTGTACATTCGAGATTTGTATTTTTTTTAATAGTTCTTTTCTTTTTAGTGACAAATTATCAATAATTGTTAATGTATCGCTTTCTGAATGAGCGAGGGAAGAATTTTTATTGAGAAATATGTTGTCTTATGTTTATTATATTGATAATATCGATATTTGGGAATTTAATTCATTTCTTCGTCAATATCGAGTGAAAATTTATCTCTCGTGTCCTGAATTACAATCATTAGTCACTTCATTTGAATACAATAATATAGTTGAGAGAATTTTACGACCTACTAAATGGATTGACAGTAATATTCAATTTATAAATGACGATGAAAAATATTCAAATGTTGCTGTACGTCTTTTACAAATTTTTATAAAAAATAACGATAAAAGTCGTCATTATTTTCCATCATTTGTGATGTAATAAACGGTATTTATTTATTTATAAACAAATTTTATTTTACAAACATATTTATTTATTTAATTAAAAATAATATTACATTTAATTAAAAATAATATTACATTTATTTAAAAATAAATTTATTATTAAATAAGTCACAGTAACGTGACAAAATTATAATTTGACAAGAAAATTTTATAATTTTAATTTTTTTGAGAATAAAAAAAATATATTTTTTTTTCTGTTCAATATTCTACTCAATGAATAAATGTCTAAAAAAAATTTTCATCATTTTTTTTACGTTTATATAAATAATTAAATATTTCTAAATGTTAATTTATTTAAATTCTCTTTTAAATAAAAAATTCTACTCAATTTACTTTCAGAAAAATTTTATTTCTTTAGCGCAATTAATTAATATAATTTTATTAATTTTTCTGCGTACATTATACATTTTTAATAAATTATAATTAATTTTAGTAAAATTTAATTAATAATACTAAAATAGTAACAATTTCACATTAAAGCGTTTTTTTTTCTATTTAAATACAATTTAAATTATACTTTCTTAAGTATTTGTATAATGAGATAAAATTATTTTTATTTTGTACCTTCATTTGATGAAGATGAAGTGGACTTAGAATTATTGTTTGTTAATTTCTTGTCTGTCCATCCAATAACATTTAATGTCCAAATTTTTAAATCTTCTAAATTAATACTACTCGCATTAGAATTGGAAATTCTTTGAATAATCAAATTTGATCTGTATAAGAAAATAAATATAAACATTTATAAAATAAAATTTCGAAAACAATTACAAATAAATAATAAAGCATCTTACGTGTTTTTTCGAGAAGATTTTTCCAAATGTGATGGCAATTGATTTTGTTTTTGGCATTTGTAAACCTATTTTTTTTTTTTTTTTTTTTGAAGAATAAAAAGTTTTTAATTCCAGACTTGAATTTGAATTAGATATAAATATTTGACAAAATAAAAAGATATATAATAAATATTTGTAGTTATAAAGGCTAATTTATAATAATTAAATAACGAAACGTTGATTTAAATAATTTTACATAAATAATTAAAATAAATACGTTACCTCCATAGCTCGTTTGAGAATGTCAGAATTTAAACCAGCATGTTTAGCAACAGCGTGAGCAAAACTTAATTTTGAAACTCCGTCTATTAATTTGAAAAGGAAAACAATTTCTCTCTCATCGGTTGGTTGTAGAAATTCGAATGTCTGAAAAATTATGCATATTCTCAAAAATCTATTACTTTTTAATTATTTTATTTTCCTTATTTACATTATTATTTACACTGATTCCATATATAATAATTGAGAATTGTTTTTTAAATCAATTCTAAATATTACCTAATATTAATAAATAATAATTTTAATTAAATTTCAAAAGTTTTTAATTGAAATATTCTTTCAAATAATTGTATTATCGAAAAATATTACAAAAATTATTTAAAATCATTAAATTTCGTAAAAATTATTTTTAAAAACCAACTTCAAATTCGTAATCAGCGACCCCAAAAACCCCCCAGTAAAAAGTTTCAGGCATCATTAAAAATAATTATTTTTTTCCATGTTTCGATGTCAAGAAGCTTGAATTTCTATTTAATCAGATTTTATATAATATATATATATATAATAAAAAGTTGTGATGTCAACTTGAGATTTTCTCGATTCAAATACAGGAAATTAAATTTTCAAAACGATATTTCATCAAATTCATTGACATTTCCAGGTTTTTCATGACTAAAAAAAATTTCCATAACAATTTTAGGTTTCCCTATGTCGGTGGCAATCCAGAAATTATATTAAATGAAAATTCGATCAAATAGAAAATCTGTTTTATAAAATTTCGATTAAATTATAAATTCCTTTTTAAAAATTTCCCAACGTAAACAATGCAGGCAAATCTGCTAATTGAATCTTTCGATTATTATTTATAATGATAATATTAAAAATTATGGAAAAAAATTATTTTTAATAAGAGATTAATGTAAATCATTCTAGAATAAGTGTACCAATTACGGCGCGTTCATAAAAAATAACTATTATTACTATTATATTTAATATAACTGTTGCAAAATCATTTTAAAAAAATATTTTAATCTTTTTTTGATACAATTACTTGTAAAGATGCACATTTAAACAATTATTAACTTAATTATTTGATATCAAATTTTTTTCTCTCGCCGCAATTGAAACATTTTTAAGATTTCCATTGGCTTTAATTTCAGCGGGCAAAGTATCTTTAAAATACACGTAATTTTGGTCACCGAAACTGATACAAATGCACCGCAATAGTAAATTACGATATTAATTGTAATTTCTCATATTTGTTTAAATAATCGATTTTTATAAAGTTAAAATTTTTTTTTAATATCTAAATAACATAAGCTTTTAGTTTAATAAGTCTTAAATTGAGTTTATATAATAGAAATGTCGAATTTTCTATTTCAAAGGTGTTTTCACTCGAATCACGCTGCAATTAGTGCATTTACTCTATATGAAAGAAAAACTTTTTTTTAGTAATAATTACATAAAGAATCAGAATTTCAAATATCGAATAAATATGAAACTATTGAAACCTGAGGTTGTATTAATGGTCCTTTTGGTATTAGATCGAGAACTCTATGTAAATGAGTTGCAACAAAAAGATGAGGACATTCAATTCCACGATCCAAAAAATACTTAAGAACAGAAGCTAAAAGAGCAGCTCCATCTATTTCAGATGTTCCTCTTCCAAATTCATCAATAATTACCAAGGTATTAGAATTTGCTGAATGCACAGCTGTATTTATCTAAACAAATAATTATATCAAGTTAAAAGAAATTAAAAATCTAATAAATTATTATATAACTAGCAAAATTAAACGCGCGCAAAATTGATTATTTGATTGTTTGTTATAAAGAAATTAAAGATTAATATTATCAATAATAATTTAATTTATTAGAATATTATTACATATTAAATGATAATAATGAAAATTATATGTTTACAGGCCTCGGATTATACGACTTTTTCCGACTTTTTTCAAAAATACGACTTTTATCGACTTATTTTAATAAAATGCGACATTTTTTTTTTTACATTTGGAAAAAAATGTAAATGAAATAAATTTTTTTAGTATAAAATGTAGATCTTCTTCAGATCTTCTTCAATTCAATTATATAACAAATTTTGAAATAAAATGATTCTTCACTAAATTAATTATTTTTAATAATTTTAATGAAATAGATCACAAATTCAATTATAACAAAATTATTATTCAATTAAAATTTTTATGAAATTTAACAATTGTTTATAATTTAAAAAAAATATATCACAATAAAATTGAATTATTTTTTAAAAATTTAAATTCAAAATAAACTAAAAATTCAATTATTACCCGAAATTTTAATTCAAAATCAATTAAAAATCCAATAATTATTATTATTATTAATTAATTATTATTAATTAATTAATTAACTATAATAATTTCCGTATTCATTCATTCATTCCGTCTGTCCACACTTGAAGTTAGTCGTATTTTGTTCCTTTTGTTTTTCTAAAATTTTGACAATTCTTGATTTCGTAATATTTTATGGTTAACACGACGGATATTTTTATTCATCGTCATTAATTAAGTCATATACTAAGTGACAGTTTAAAGTAAAAAAAAAAATATTGTTCATTGTGTGCAGCACCAGTATATTTCCTACTTGGTATTTATAGAAAAAAAAGTTTCAATTATAATATAATTTTTATTATTATTTATAAATTTATTATATTATATATACATTTTTTTAAATATAATGATTATTACAGATAATTAGAACATTTTAACTTATAATTATTATTTATCTTTCATTATCTTTTCATTATTCATTATTATTTATTATATATTATTATTCACAAATTTATTATTATTAATTATTAAATTGTTATATTTTTTTATCTATAAACAATATAAAAATAGTTTGCTTTTTTAAAAAATTTTCAATTTGATTTTAATTTTTAATTTAAGTTTAAAGTTTAAAACATTACAAATTTGTTTTAGGTTTTACTTTTTCAAAATTTTTAAATATTTTTTAATTGCTTAATACTTATTAAAATATAATTAATAATTTTCAATTAATTTAAATTTCTTTTTGATTACATAATTTTTTAATATTTATTAATTATCAGTTAATTAAATTTTTTGAAAAAAAAACATAAATTTACAATTTTCATTTGCAACGAAATATTTATAGAAAATACGAAAAAATATTTAGCATAACTAATTTTTTGTAATTTGAAAGATTATAAAAAATTCATCGAACATTGACTTTATCAAAAATATTTATTTCTAAAATTTTAATATTTATATTTTAAAATTTTTACTTAAATTTATTTATTTATATAACATCAAACTCATTTTTTTCTGTGTATAAATAAATGATAACGTGAAAATTAGAAATATACCTATTATTAATTTAATACTCCACTTATGCAGAATTATTATTATTATTATTATTATTATTATTATTATTATTATTATTATTTTAAAATAACCATTGGATCCAAAGTTGGACGCGCGTGTAATTTTGCTAGTTATCCAAAATTTTCAATTTAAAATTTAATTATTTATCAAGTTTTCAATTTAAAATGAAATAAAATTCAATAATTTTCCAAAATTACAATTGAATTTCAATTATTTTCAAAATTTGCAATTTAAAATCAACTAAAATTCAATTATTTTCAAAATTTTCAATCCAAAATCAAGTAAAATTCAATTACTTTCAAAAGTTTCAATTTAATATTAATTGAAATTCAATTATTTTCCAAAATTTCAATTCAAAATCAACTAAAATTCAATAATTTTCCAAAATTACAATTGAATTTCAATTATTTTCAAAATTTGCAATTTAAAATCAACTAAAATTCAATTATTTTCAAAATTTTCAATCCAAAATCAAGTAAAATTCAATTACTTTCAAAAGTTTCAATTTAATATTAATTGAAATTCAATTATTTTCCAAAAATTTCAATTTAAAATCAATTAAAATTGAATTATTTTGAAAAATTTTAATTGAAATTCAATTATTTTCTAAAATTTCTATTCGAAGTAATTATCCAAATTTTCAATCAAAAATGAACTTCAATTAAATTATTATCCAAAATTTCATTTAAAATTCAATTATTTCCCAAAATTTTCAATTTAAAATGAACTGAAATTCAATTATTTTCCAAATTTAAAATCAAATAGAATTTCATTATACTTAAAAATTTGAATTCAAAATTAATTGAATTTAAAAGCATTTAAAATTTAATTATTTTTAAAATTTTCAATCGAAAATTTGTTTTTTGAAATTTAATAATTTCAATTATAACTCTAAGGAAATTCAATTATTTTTAACTATTTTAATAATATTCTTTGAAAATTCAACTATCTGAAACCATTTTTCAATTAAAAATGATTTTCAAATTATTGTATTTTATCCGCATTTTTTAATAAATTTTTAGTGAAATCATCTAAAATTTTAATTACAAAACACTTAAAGTTTCAATTAATTTCAAGAATCTCAATTTTAAATCTTTGAAAATTCAATTAAATTTAAAAAATGTTTTCCAAAAATTGTTTGATAAATTATTTTTAGTTCTGTAAAATTTAATAATTGTTTGAAAATTAACAATATCTTTTGAAATTTAATTATTTCTAAAAATTTCAACTTTAACCCTTCGAAAAGGATTATTATTAAAAAAAAAAATTTTTATTTAAAAATATGGAAAATATTTTTGTTAAATTAAAAAACAAATCCACTTTTTTTGGGGATATAAATCGACTAAAACGACTTTTTTGTGTCTTTAAGTTGATTCGAGGCCTGTGTTTTTATAATTAATATTTAATAGGTATTCGTTGGCCCTTGGTACCTTAAAAATTAATTTTGAAAAATTAATTTTTTTCAAATTACTATCTTGTACGAAATTTCCTGGCGCATCTTTTTTCTCATCATAAATTTTTTGTATTTGTATACAATTTTTGAATGAATATACAACTTTAAAAAAAATTTCGTTGGTAGATTTTGTGTACTTCAGCTTCGTGAATTGAATTTTCGAATTTGGAATTTTAAAGAAACTTATTCCGAAATTCGGAAACACAATTATACAACTTTGGCAAAAATGAGAAAAAGAATTGTCAAAATTTGACACGTCATAAGATTACTATTTAAAAACACACGTGAAATCAGAAAAGGCCAACTTCAAGTTAGGACAGAAGGACAGACTAAGCATTTTATTATTATATAATAATAATTTTTCTCACTAACCTGACGAATGTCTTGAAGAAATGTACTTGCATTTAATAATGAAATACTATTATTGGAAATAATTTGTGCCGTAATTCGTGAAACAATACCAATAGTCGCAGAATCAGCAGGCACATAACTTCCAATGTGAGCCATAAAGACAATAAGTGCAATTTGTTTAAGATAAACACTTTTACCACAAGAATTTGGACCGGTTAAAATTTTAACAAGACTATATCCTTCACCAGAATAAATATCATTAGCAACGAAATTTGTTACAAATGATTCTTTAAGAGGATGTCGTCCCTGTTTTATTTCAATTAAACGAGAATCAACAATTTCTGGTTTCACATAATTTGAATCACGAGCCACCATAAAAAATGATAACATCCTAAATATAATAAAAATATATTTTAAACGAATTTTGTAGGCAAAAAAAAAATTATCATTTATTTTTATTATTTATTTAAAGTAAATAAACTTACACGTCAAGTTCACTGCAAAGTCGAATAGCATTCATAATTTCTTGATAATGACGTACAATAAACTTTACCAATTTCATCATTATTGTATTTTGTCGTTTTGCCAATTTAATTTTTACGTCACCAAGTTTTTCATCTAATTCTAAAAATATGTATCAAGTATTTTTATGGTTATTTTAATTTTTTTTTTAAACAAAATGTGAAATACCTTTGTTTTAAATTAAACAAAAATAGTATTTACCAATAGCGGCAGGACTTTTGTAGTGATGAACATTTTCAATGGTGAATTTATATTCAAGACCTTGAATTTGTGGATTATCTGGAGGACCATCTTTCCATTGCGTAATAGCAAGAAGATATTGAATATTGGGAATATAAACCATCAAACAAGACTCAACGGATTCTGGAAGTATTGGTATATCTTTTGCTCCCCATTCACTTAGAGTACGTGGTAAATTATCACAAATATGAGCCACTAAATTTCGGAAAGATCGTAATTAATATCAATTAATTTTTAAATATATTTAAATAAATTAATAATGAAATTCAAATTTTTATTTCTATAAATAGAAAAAAAAAATTTTTTTTTACTAGAAACTAACATTCATCATAAAGAGGATCAACGCCTGTATTTAAAACAAATTGATTTTTCAATTGAGTCATTTCAAAATCAACAAGAAGATCAAGAAAGTACTTGACCAAGTATGTTGTTTGAGTTACATTTTCCACTAATTCATCAAACATTGAAATCTCTTCTCGATATTGTCCACAAATTTCAGATATTTGAATGACATTTGAAATCGTCTAAAATAAAATTTAGGTGATTAAATTTAAATTATCATTTTGCTGTCCTGTTGAAAAAAATCGAATTCAAATTCACATATTGAATATTTTTCAGTTAATTAAATTATATTTACAGTCCTCAGATCGACTTAATAAGAGTAATTCTATAGAAATATTATCAAGAATATTTATTTCCAATATTTCAGAATTGAAGACGTAAATTTTAAAAATTTTAAAAAAGTTAACAAATTTAAAAAATTCTGACAATTCAATTTTAGAATTTTTTTTTTAATTTAAAATCATTAAATTTTAGGTTTTAAATTAAAATTTTTGAAAATAATAATTGAATTCGAATGATTTTGAATTGAAATTTTTTGATGATTTCTGTTGCTGAAGATTTTATTAAAAAACATAATCAAATTTTTGTATAAATAAAAAAATATTATTCAAATATATATAAATTTTTATCACAAATCGTTACTTGATCGAGTTTCCTCCAATCTACATATTTAGCTTGTGATATGGAAATTTTATTTATAATCAACGGTGAAAGTCGATAAATGCATCTTAAACAACTCTTTAAACTATCGACAACTGACAGATTACCAGGGTTAAGAAAAAATTCAATCACTTGGTGTCTTTTCTTCAAAACTTCAATATCTGTTGTAGGATGATGCATAATCTTCCTGAATTTAAAAAAATATATCTTTGAAATAATATAATAAAATATTAAATATAATTTATTCTTAAAAAAAAAAATTAAAGATTTATTACAATTGTGTCACATCACCGGGATGTATTTACTATTTATAAATAAATATTAATAATAATAAATAAAAATTGCATGTTTCAATGTTGATTGATTCATAATTAATTCATTAATTAACAATTAAGTTAACAATAATTATGTAATCTTTTAAATTAAAATAAATATTAATTAAAAATCAATCAACAAACATTAAAACATGCAATTTTTAGTTATTTTCATTAACCCTTAACTGGCACAATTTGAACGTAAATGGCACAACGGGTCTGCTGGACCCGACATATTCAAACGTATACTGTACAGCCGGTATTGAATATTTTTGCACAAAAATTTAATCTAAGGTAGCTTATGATGTGTTTTTTAAAATTTCATTAGTTTTACAGGGATTAATTTATTTTAAGTTAGTTAAAAAAAATTGTGAAAAATAAAAACGAAAAATTGCATATTTTTACTTAAAAATTCATGAGTTATTTAAATTCTAATATTATGACTTAAAAATTTAAAGTTATACTATTATTCTTTAAGGAAAAAATTACTAAAACAACAGGACTTGCAAAAAAGGTATTTATTTTGCACAATAAAATGTGACTTTTAAGGTTAAATTTAAAAATTTATAATTATTGATGTTTGAAGCTAATTTATTCTTTTGTATCGAATTAGTTGTATGAAAAAACTTAGAAAATTACTAATATGTCAAACTAGTATATTAAAATATAAAAAATATTCAAATACATTCAATTAATTTGAGCGAGAAAAAATTCTCGGGTCTACTGGATTCACGGGTGCCAGTTAAGGGTTAAAAAGAAATTTTAATTTAAAAAATAATTTTAATATAATGTGAATAATAAAAAATTCTGTATCTTCTTTATCAGGGTGTCAAACAACTGTTAGGAAAAAAATTCCCTGACTATTCCCTGACCTTAATTACACTAAAAAAATTTTATTTTGATCAAGTAAAATTTATGTTGATACAATTAAATCATTTATCTGTCTATTATCCACTAATTTCATATTATGTATTTGAACCAAATAAATAATGTTTCGTAAAAAATAAAATATTTAAATGAAATAAATAAACTAATTTGGGACGTATTTACATATTCTCAACATTTAATTTAAAACAATTTTTACAGCGTCAAATCTTAAATTATCAAATTTTTATTTAGTAAAATTAAAATTATATAAAGCAGATTTTCTAGTACATCGAATTTTAAATTATATGAAACTGAAGTTCACAACGTTTTTATAAACGAAAACGAAAAAATAATTAGATAATATGTATTACTTTAGCATAAAATTAAAGTTATTCGAAGGTAACTGGCTTTTATAAAAAGATTAATTTCTTAAAAGTTTGTGTAACTCAAAATTAATAATAAAATGACTTGAAAAAATCATTCTATTTTAATTTTTCGTTTTTAAAAACGTTGCGGACTTCAGGTTCATTAAATTATTACAATTTCAATTTAACAAAATATTTACTTAACAGAATTGTCATTAAATAAATCCACAATTAACAGAATTTCTATTTAACAAAATTCTTAATTAACAAAGTTTTTATTAAAGAAAATTTTTAATTCGAACTAATTCTTATTTAACAGAATTCTTATTTAATAAAAATTCTACTTAGTTCATTTTTTGTCAATTTTTAGAGACATAAATTTTGTTAAATTAAAATTATATTAATTTAAAATTTTAAAAAAGTATTAGAAAAAAATGCTTTATAAGAGTTATGCTAAATAGAATTTCTTTTAAATCAAATTTTAGTTAAATATAAATTCTTCTATATGAAAATTTTGCATAATATAAAATCCACTTTATACAATTTTGCTAAATAGAAATTCGATAATTTAATATTCGACGCCGTAAAAATTTTTATAAGTTAAATGTGAGTATTAGCATTAAATAATAAATTATTTGTATTAATGAATAATTTACTTTATTTCAAATTGAACCGATAAAATAAAATTGTATCGAATAATTTGTATTTATATTAAAAAACCAAATATTTTACTGAAAAAATTAATTAATTGTTCCAAGTTTAAAAAATCATTTATTAGATTCAATAAATAGTAGTAAATAATTATTTATTTAATGAATATAAGATATATCACATGTTTAATAATTGAGTGTGAAGGCCAACTTTTTAATTTGCATTTGCTTTGGGAAAAAAGTAAAAAAAAATTTGAAACTAATAGTTACTTTAATTTATTCATAAAAAATTCCAGAAAATTAAAGAAATTCTCTGACTTTTCCCTGACGATTTAAATTCCCTGACTTCCCTGACCGTTAGACACCCTGTCTATAAAAAAAAATTTCCAATGCAGATAAATAATCTTTAATAGATTAGATTTATTTTGTTTATGAAACATTCTTAATTGTATTCCTCTTTTTCGAGGGATTTTTGTTTTTGAAGTTATCTGAATAATAAACATTCTTTATGAAATATCCTCCTGCTTCAATTTGATCTCGAAAAAAAATGCTCGGGTCTACTGGACCCATGGTGCCAGTTGAGGGTTAATATTTATTTATAAATATTTTGCTGTTCCTACAAAAATAGAATAATTAAGAACAAATGAATAAATACGTCACGGTGAGGTGACAAAATTGTGATAAATCTTTAATTTTTAAATTTCTCCCTTTCTATAGATATCATTAAGATATTTTGTAGAATAATTGAATTATTATCATTAATAATTTTTATTGATATTAAAATTATTAATTTTTTATATGTAAACAAAAATTATTTCGATTAAAAATAGCTCTGATTTGTTTATTTATGAAACTTACCAAAGAGCTTGAGCACCAAGACGTGATTGGCAATTATTAAAGAGAGAATAAAGACTAACTGTATGTTTCTTAATTCTATCTTTTCCAAATTTAAAAAAGCTTGGATGATCTTTAGTTGTAATGACATTTAAAGCTCTGTAACAGTCCTCATCCATCATCATCAAATCACCCCTAATTTAATAAAACTTTTTAATTATATAAATATAGGATTTAATACAATCTTGGATACAATAAGGAGAGCAGAGTTGACACTAAAATATTATTTTCTTTTTCTCTGATTTCAAGTCAAAATTAAAAATTTTTTCCTGGCCCTAAAGAAAATATTTTAAGAGGTTTGCACGACTTTTTTTTATTTTTTAAAAGTGAATTATTAAAAAAATATATTAACTTGAATTGTTTGCAAAATCAATTATTTAATTTAAATAATTTAAAATTTTGAAAATCTGATTTCAAATTTGTATACCGGAGATCACAAAAACTTCTGAAAAACCAGTTTCATGCGAATCTAAGCAATTTTGGAAAATTTGTCCTTTAGAGCGTGTAAACGATCCACTTATTGTATCCAAGCATTCAAATTTCACTAAAATAATATTCAATAATAAATTTGAAAAAAAAAACCGTAAATTATGAAAAATCTTACAAAGAAACATTGGTGATATTAATAAATATTGCTTGTTCTGTTTCACATGTTGAAAGTCTATGCCATTCTCTGTCAATATATTTCAATAGTAAACCCAAAGCGTATATCAAAGCTCGTGAATTGAAATTTATAAATGAACTGAGATAAGCGTTTCTCTCTTCAAAATTTGCATTTGAAGGTTCACCTTCGAGTTTTAAATTTTGAACTCTTGCTAAACAATAATCGGCAATATTATCAGTTTTTGATAATATTTTAAGAGAACAAGAATTTTGATTTGATGTCTCATCTGTATTTTCATTTGATGCTTCTAAATTGTCACGTGTCACTAAAGATTTTAATGTTTCAAAAAAAATTTCTGCCAATCCACCAACAGTAATTAATGTATTTGGATTTACTTGTTTATAGAGAGCTCTCACTTTTTCAAATATATTATTGTCAATTACATCGTCCATGACAAAAAGTTCTGAAGTTGATACATTATAATAAGCTGCACCCAAATGTTCATTTTGCCAAATCATTGACAAGATCACCTATAGATTTTCATTTTTATTATTTTTTTTTATCATTTAGAAAAAATTGTTTTAAACAAGTTAAGGAATTAAATAAATTACGTAATTTTTTTTATCTAATCTAATTCTATCTAATTTATCTATCTTCTATTTTATTTATTTATTATTATTATTTTATCATTCTTAATTTTATTTTCTCTCTTTCTCAACCGAATTATTATTGATTTTTAATACTAACATTTTCGGAACATTCAGTTGAATCTTCAGAATTTGAGGAATTTACATTATTCTCAGATGATGGATAATGAGAATTCGATGGTAAATCTGAATTATTTTTTTCTTCAATATCGTCTTCATCGCTACTATCATCGTATAAAAGTGCTTCAAATTGCGTTCGCCTTTAAAATTAATTAATATGAATTATTTATTTAAAATTATGCAGGATAATCGTAGTAACTTTCATTTTTTAAAAATCTTTTTTCAATTAAAATTCTTTGAAAAATCAATTGTATATTTTCAAAAATGTTAATGAAATTTTTTTCAAAAATTCAATATATTAAACATTTTTAATTTTATTTTTATAAAATTTCAATTATTTAAATATTTTTGTAAATATCTTTGAAAATTTAATTATTATCAATAATGCAAATCAAACTGATTTTAAAATCCCACATTTCCAGATTTCCAACACCATTTTTAAAAACTTTCAGATCCAAATATAAATCTATTTTGATCAATTTTTAGCCAATTATGCAAAAGAATAAAAAATATTTCAATTAAATTAACAATAAAATATTCTGTAAATTAATTTCTTGCAAAAAACCGCAAAATGAAATCATTCAAATTAAAAATAATGATTTTTTTTCATGTTTCGATATCAAGAAGCTTGAATTTCTATTTAATTAGATTTTATAAAGTAAAATTCATAATGAATGGAATTTTCTTACCGAAGAATGTTTGTTTAATTGATTTCTCATTTAATGAAAATTCTATTTATTTTATTTTTCATATATCTACTTTAGCGAATTTTTATTTAACAGAATTTTTTATTAACGAAATTTATATGTAACGGAATTTTCACAGATATTTATTTCAAAGAATTTCTAATTAATGGCAATTTTATTAAATTGAATTTTTCTATTGATTTAATTTTACTTATTTGAATTTTTATTTAATCGAATTTTCATTTATCTTAATTCTTCTTTAGCAGAACTTTTATTTAGCCAAATTTTCATTTATCTTAATTCTTCTTTAGCAGAACTTTTATTTAGCCAAATTTTAATTTCAAATAATTTTGAAAATAATTGAAAATAATTTTGAAAATAATTTTAGACAACGTTTTTTAAAAGTAATTGAATTTTCAATGATCTACAAAATTCAGATTTTCGAAATTAATTGAACTTCAAGTGATTTTTAAATAAAAATTTTTGGTCATTTCTGTTGAAGAATTTACTTATTAAAAATTATAGATAAAAAATTCAATTTCAAAAGTGATTAATTAAAATATGCTTTCAAATAATTGTATTTTCGAAGAATATTATAAAAATTATTTAAAATCATTAAATTTCGTAAAAATTATTTAATTGAAATTATTAAATTTCAAAAAGTTTTATAGCTGGAAAATTTTAAAAATAATAAATTTTAAGAGGTTTTAAATTCAAATTTTTGTTAATTTTATTTGATTAAAAAATAATAATTTTATAACTATTTAACTTTTATTATTAATTTTTAAATAATTTTTATTATTTATTTTTATTTTATAAATATTTTTAAAAAAATGTAAAATTATAATTTATTAATCTGAAAATAATTAGGTAATATATATTTTTTATTTAATTATAAAATCATTAAATTTAAATTTAATTAATATTTCTTTTTATTTGAATTTATATCTTCCTTCTCTTTCTATTATTTGTCCTGTTTACATTTGCATTGTGTTACCTTTGAATATCTTCTTTCTCTTTCTATTTTTTCAGAAATTATATTTCCATTCATTTAAACTCAATTCTTTATATTTTATTTTTAATATTTATTAATTTATAATTTTTCAAATAATTTTTAATAATTTTATAATTAAATTTTTGACTATTGAAATACCATTACAATAGAATTCGCTCTTATGAAAACTGAAAAAAAATAAAAATTCGATTGAATTAGGCTTCGAATTGACTTTAAGGCACAAAAAAGTCTCTTTTAAAAAATATATTTAAGATCAATTCTTCATCAATTGAGTCAAATAATTAAAAAAATGTTGTAAAATAAATATATTTTCAAAAAAATAATTCAAAACTAAATTTGTTTTATGTACTACTTTAGCATATAAAAACTCAATAACAAACCAACTATTTGTGATAAATAAAATAGAATTCTTTATTACGAATAATTCATGAAAATATTTTTAAAAAATGTTATTTAGAATATTTAAGAATATAATTGAGAAAAATTTTCAACATCTTTAGATAAAAAAAAATTTATGATTCTTTCTTTTCAACCATTTTTTAATTTTATTTATTTATTTATTAAATTTAATGCAAATTTATAGAAATAAAAAAATAAATATTTTCTTGTCTAAAAAAATTGAAAGAAAAATTACTGAGGAATATATAATTAACATCATTTTTCTCCTAATTTAAAAAAAAAATCTATTGTTAAATTTCGATTAAATTTTTGGCTTTTTGGCATAATCGTATGATTATTCCATAAAAATGATTTTTCACATAATAATAATAATAATAATTTTAATTAAAAATCTCCAAAAATTCAATTATTTCTAAAAATCTTAACTCGAACTCTTCTAAAATTCAATTACTTTTAAAAATGTGTGTCTAATATTCTTTGCTAAATTAATAATTTTAATTCAATGATTCAAAAATTCAATTAAATAAAACATTTTTTAATTAAAAATTTCATAAAATTCAATTAATATTTGAAATTTTGTTAATAACTTTTAGTAATTCTAATTTACAAAAATAATTCAAAATCTTCTAAAATTCAATTATTATTAAAAATTTTGATTCAAATTTTTTGTTGAAATAATTATTTTTAATAACTTTAATCAATATCTTGGCATTTCAATTATTTAAAACATTTTTCAATTCAAAATACTCTAAAATTCAATTATTGTCTGAATTTGAAAAAAAAAACAGTTGGGTAAAGAGAAATTTTGTAAAATGAAAATTTTGTTAAATAAAAATTACCAAAAAAATGAAAATTCGTGTAAAAAATAATTATATAAAGCAGTAGTTAACGCGGCCAATAATAAATCATCAACTTGGCGAGATTTTAGGAATCAAAAAAATTCGCTAAAATTTAAAATTCTCGACTTCTGTCATTTTTAAAATTATTTTTTAGAAAAAAGTAACATTTAGTGGCTTTTGGCCAAAATTAGTAGTTAAAAAAGTATCCATGTCGAAAAAAAGTATCAAAAAAGTAAAAAAGTGTGTCACTTTGAAGCCTGAAATACAAAAAACTAAATTTTCAAAACGATATTTCATAAAATTCATTGATAATAAAAAAAAAAAAATAAAACCCTGTATTTACTCCAAATAGGTATTTATTATTGTTATTATTATTATTATTATTATTAAAAATTAAGAAAAATATTTAAAAAATTTATTCATTTTTTCATTAATTTTTCAACTTTAATCCACTCATTTTCGGACCCAATTTTATTATTTTTTCTAATGCTGAAAATTTCCTTCTTGTCTTCTGAAGAAGGTAAAAAAAAAATTCTATTCCAAAAGTGGAATTAATTTGTGTACAAATAATTACATTATATCAATTATTATACATAATAAAAGAATAAACTTTCACATTACAAAGAAAACAATTGAAAACGTACACTAAAATTTCTCGTTCTTCATCTGTTATTGGTTTCATTTTAATTACAAATAAAATTCATGTCCTTGTATTGTAACAACTTTCTATACGATATGTAAACAATTCAAACTCAACCATGATAAAAAGTTTAACCAGGGTGGGGAAACATTGTATCGCGATTAATAAGTGTTGAATCCATAATGCAATAGAACATTTGAAATGTGATACTAAGGGTACGGTCACACGACTTTTGGAAAAACCATTCTTGTCTTTCTCTCTCCTATTACAGACGCATAAGTTTGTCTCACTCTGCATTTTCCGTCTTTGGGAAATGTAAGAAAATGCAGAGTGAGACAATCTTATGCCTCTGTCTTAGGAGAGAGAAAGACAAGAATGGTTTTTCCAAAAGTCGTATGACCGTACCTTAAAAGGCTATTTTAAAGGTGCTTTCATACCTCCATTATTTTGGTCAAGCAATCGGCTGGATTGAATTTTTAAGGTGCTTTTATACCTCAAATTTCGATCAGATGAACATTATTTCTGAACCGTGAAAATGTGTGAAAAGTCATTTTCACGGCGGGTATTTTTGAATTGTTTTAAACAAAAAATGTTTTTTTTAAGAAATATAATATTAAATAATTGTTTTAATATGTAAGAACACTTTAAAATAGTGATAGAAAAATGATTGAATAATTTAGCAAATTTTGCTTTAAAACGTTTTCTGCTACAAGAAAGTGTAAAATGACGATGTTTGTGAAATGGTTTGTACAGTGCTGATTTATTTTCAGCACTCATTATTTATTACAAGTTAAAAAAACCGACAAAACATAAACAAAACTCTGAGAGACACTCACAAGGAAGAAGCACTGTACAAACCATTTCACAAACATCGTCATTTTACACTTTCTTGTAGCAGAAAACGTTTTAAAGCAAAATTTGCTAAATTATTCAATCATTTTTCTATCACTATTTTAAAGTGTTCTTACATATTAAAACAATTATTTAATATTATATTTCTTAAAAAAAAACATTTTTTGTTTAAAACAATTCAAAAATACCCGCTGTGAAAATGACTTTTCACGAATTTTCACGGTCCAGAAATAATGTTCATCTGATCGAAATTTGAGGTATAAAAGCACCTTAACGGTTGTATCACTGAATTTAATTGGCTTTCGCAAATATCACATTTTCAACGTGAAAATTGAATTTTGTTAGAGCCAATCAAATTCAGTGATTCTCCGTGAAAATTCAATCCAGCCAGTCGATTGCTTGACCAAAATACTGGAGGTATAAAAGCACCTTAAGACCAGGTCCAAGTGGGGCAGCGCCATCTACATTGAAACTAAAATTTTGGAAAATTTTCAACAGCCTTTTCTTCAAAACAAGAAGGTAAAATGCTTTTTCCTTTATGGATAATTGATTATTGGCAAGATATACACCAGCTAAAACTTTTTTTGAGTTAAAATAATAAAAAAAATTTCATGTCAATAAATTAAATATGAGCACTTTTTTCACAAAAACTGTAACAGTACTTTCTCAGAAATTACAATCAAAAATGCAATTTCCATTTGGAAAATTAATAAACGCTAAAAAATACACGACCTAAGATTTACCAATCACGAAAATAACAAAAAAAAAAGTATTTCAACATAACATATTTTACTCATTATGACAGCCGTTTGGCAGGTTATATATGTCACCAGACGTTTCGCAGTTTTGCCGAAAGGAGGAGATTGGCGCTGTTGCTAACCACGTGAAATACATAATCTACCAAAGGGCTGTCACAATCAGTAAAGCAGTATCAATATGTTAAATATTTAATAAAATTTTTTTTTCTTATTTTCGTGATTGGTAAATCTTAGGTCGTGTATTTTTTAGCGTTTATTAATTTTCCAAATGGAAATTGCATTCTTATTTGTTAATTCCGAGAAAGTACTGTTACAGTTTTTGTGAAAAAAGTGCTCATATTTAATTTATTGACATGAAATTTTTTTTATTATTTTAACTCAAAAAAAGTTTTAGCTGGTGTATATCTTGCCAATAATCAATTATCCATAAAGAAAAAAGCATTTTACCATCTTGTTTTCAAGAAAAGGCTGTTGAAAATTTTCGAAAATTTTAGTATCAATGTAGATGGTGCTGCCTCACTTGGACCTGGCCTTAAAGGCGCTCTCACACCTTTTTGGCTGCCTTCAGGTTACCATGGCAACGCATGAGAGTGAGTGCGATAGAAAATTTGAATATTCAAATTGTCTGTCTCACTCAAACCCGTGCGTTACCATGGTAACCTGCAGGCATTCAGGCAGCCAAAAAGGTGTGAGAGCCCCTTAAAGGTGCCGTCAAGGGTGCCATTTAATTTCGGCGGAAAGTATAAACTATATATATGTGTAATAAGAAACAAAAAAAATAGCATTATCTCTATCACTTTTATTATAAACACTTTTCACCGATTGTCAACGCTTATTCTATATACGTGGCCATTTTAAAAAGCTCACATTCACTTCAAAATATGATAAACTCTTAATTATAAAAGTTTGAAAAAAATTTAACCGTACATGTTTCTCATCCCTGATAAAATTATTTTCAAAAATATTTGTTTATTTTCACACTTTATAGTGTAGTGTTATAAAAAAAACAATTGTTAAATTAATATATAATTGTAAATTATACTATTTCGTGACATTTAATTAAACTTAATCTTTATAAAATACATATTTTCGTAAGTCATCATTCTCTGTTATAAAAAGAGGTATGTATGTATAATTTAAACGTCATTTGTTATTGTTTTCTATTTTAAAGTTTCGTCCATTTAAATTTAACATTAACGCTTCACGGACTAATATATTTAAAGGATTTAATGAAAATAAAATTAAAATGTACTTCTTATTTATATAGATGCATATATATCTAAGAAGTCGTACATTTTGAAGTTTTATTTTCATATATATAGAGGTAACACTATATAGACACCTGTTGCTTAAATTGATTTATTACAAGTGCGCAAAATACATTTGATTAAATTACGCAATAATTAAGACAAAATAAAATTGAAAAAAAATTTAAACTTATTAGATATCAAGAATAATTTCAGTTCTTATTGTATTCACATCTTTTGACATTCAGTTATTCGTAAAATGTATTGTTTTTTTTTAAGTTTAATTACGAAATATTTACACGTGCTTTTAGATTTAAAAAAATAACCTCAAAATGTTTCGTCCCCGTATTTTATTATTATTAGTAATAATAATGGTTTTCATTTATTCTTTTTACTTCTAAAGTTTGTCCGTATTTATTACTTATATATGGGCGATTCCACGTGAGATTTACATATGACATTTTAAATTCGGTAAACATATATTTTTTTTCCGACCTTTATATAGAAAAAAAAAGATTTACTTATTTTTTTATTTTTTTTATAAGTGCTCAAATTTTCGAGTTATGAATTTTTATAAATTTGATTTTTTCGAGTTTTTTTTTTAAATACACCTAATTTCAATGACATCTAAATCTAAAAGCATTGAATTTAGGAATTAAAACCAAGATACAAAAAAGTTTCAGTTTTTCATCGACTTTCAAAATATGTTAACGAAAAAAAATTTTTTGAATTTGTTTATAAAAAACAGCGATTTTTTATAAACAAATTAAATTTTTTTTAATTTAGGGGCTATTTAAAAAAAATTTTTTTTTTATTTTTACACACATAAAAGTAAGAGGAAAATTTTGTAATAAGTTTTGGAGTGGGCCTGATGATTCTTTTGTTTATATAATTTGTTTAAAAAAAAAAATTTACTTTTTTTCGTTTTTTTTTCTATTTTTCAAATTAAAATGTATTTTAATTTGCTTTTTTATGAGTTTACTAAAAGATCCTAGTGCCCAAAACAGTTTTCATTTCGAAAAATAAAAAAAAACGAAAAAAAGTAAATTTTTTTTTTTAAACAAATTATATAAACAAAAGGATCATCAGGCCCACTTCAAAACTTATTACAAAATTTTCCTCTTACTTTCATATGTGTAAAAATAAAAAGAAATTTTTTTAAAATAGCCCCTAAATTAAAAAAAATTTAATTTGTTTATAAAAAATCGCTGTTTTTTATAAACAAATTCAAAAAATTTGTTTTCGTTAACATATTTTGAAAGTAGATGAAAAATTGAAACTTTTTTGTATCTTGGTCATAATTCGTAAATTCAATGCTTTTAGAGTTACATGTCATTGAAATTAAATGTATTTTAAAAAAACTCGAAAAAATCAAATTTTTAAAAATTATCAAATAATTTAATGCTTGGTCTGTCCTTCTGTCCTAACATGAAGTTGGCCTTTTCTGATTTCACGTGTTTTTTTGAATAGTAATCTTATGACGTGTCAAATTTTGACAATTCTTTTTCTCATTTTTGCCAAAGTTGTATAATTGTGTTTCCAAATTTCGGAATAAGTTTCTTTAAAATTCCAAATTACAAAATTCAATTCACGAAGCTGAAGTACACAACGTTTACCAACGAAATTTTTTTTAAAGCTGTATATTCATTTAAAAATTGTATACAAATACAAAAAATTTATGATGAGAAAAAAGATGCGCCAGGAAATTTCGTACAAGATAGTAATTTGAAAAAAATTTATTTTTAAAAATTAATTTTTAAGGTACCAGGGGCCAACGAATACCTATTAAATATTAATTATAAAAACACAGGCCTCGAATCAACTTAAAGACACAAAAAGTCGTTTTAGTCGATTTATATTCCAAAAAAAAGTGAATTTGTTTTTTATTTTAACAAAAATATTTTACAGATTTTTAATTAAAAATTTTTTTTCTTTAATAATAATCCTTTTCGAAGGATTAAAGTTGAAATTTTTAGAAATAATTAAATTTCAAAAGATATTGTTAATTTTCAAACAATTATGTATTAAATTTTACAGAACTAAAAATAATTTATCAAACAATTTTTGGAAAACAATTTTTAAATTTAATTGAATTTTCAAAGATTTAAAATTGAGATTTTTGAAATTAATTGAAAATTTAAGTGTTTTGTAATTAAAATTTTAGATGATTTTACTAAAAATTTATTAGAAAATTCGGACAAAATACAATAATTTGAAAATCATTTTTAATTGAAAAATGGTTTCAGATAGTTGAATTTT